TTATTGGGTTTTTGAGACAGTCTTACAGCCTGGCCTGAAGTCACAGCAATCCTCTTGCTTCAGCCTCTGAGGACTGGAGCGACAGGCGTTCACTATCGTACCTGGCAGGAGGACATTTCCTTTCCTGATATTGAGCTATATGTTGCCATGGCTGTCAGCAAGGCCAAGCACTTTATTGTGGATCTTCACACAAGAATCAACTAAAAATTTTTTTTTCTGTGGCTCTAGGGATTGGCTCAGGTGTGAGCCAATCCGTTTGCTGCATTTCCCTTTGGCCTCAGGGATTGACAAATGAACCTTGAACCGGTCCAGTCAGAGAAAACTTGAGAAATTTGTCTCACTGAGGGGAGAAGACCCTTTCTGTCCTTGTATCTCACCTCTCTGCCTCTGTCTCCATCAGTTTGTCTCCATTTTCTGTCTTTCCATAGTGAGAAACTGTAGTGACAGGAGATGTGAGAAACAAAGTGGAGACCATAGCTTCGGAATCCTGCTGCATTCAATCCTGTAACATTCAGAACGGCCATGGGTTTAGTGGTGCTGCTGGATCAAACCAAACCTGAAGGCCACTTGCCCTGGGCTCTTCACTGCTGCGCACCAGTTTAGCCCTGCTGTTCAGATCACTGTCATGTTTTCTGTCCTACATGAGAGCCAGGCAGGGTCTGGGTCTGAGTCTCTCCTGCCTCGAAGAGTGCAGCCTGGGCCAAGGCCTGTGGCCCCTTCTGTCCAGGCCACGCTGGGTTAGGGACATCACCTCTTCAGACCTCAGTTCTGTTCCCTGAACGATGAGGAGGAAGAAGGCACCAGCTCCCCAGGATGTGGGTCAAACAAGGCTTGTGGTGCTGACTCTCGGCCAACCACTGGCCCACTTCCTGGCCCCGGGAGCCAGGACAGCCTCCCATGGGCACAAACAGTTGCGGGCTTCCCTGGGTCTGGTTAGATGGCAATTTCTTTCCCACTTCCCAATGGGGAAACCGAAGCTCAGAGAGGCAGAGGCACTGTCCCTGGGCCCAGGCCGCCTTAAGGGGATGTGGAGGTCGAGGTTTCTGTTTCTCTTTGCCCATTGATGTTTCCCACAGGGAGCGGCACCACATGCCGTTACACAGAACTTGGAAAAAAGGAGGTGCGCTGGGTACCAGAAGGCAGCAAGAATGTACATGGGCGCGCAGGCAGTGCCACATGAGCGACTTTTGATCTGCAGTGGTCAGGGCCTTGCACATGTGCCACTGGGGCCCAGAGAGGGACAGCCCCTCAGTGCAGTCACACAGCCACTCAGAGCCCATCTGGGGAGCAGACCTGCAGAGGAAGGGTAGGGTCAGGGCAGGTTCCCTCCCTTTAAAAAGGGTGTGGGCAGGAAGGCAGTGGGTTTGTAGCCTGGGCAACCGGTTACCTAGCAACAGGCTAGGCTCCCTCAGGGCCTCAAAAGTGAGGAGAGGATTCTCTGTCCAGTCCTCCCAGATTTTGGAGGCTCTCCAACCCCCTGGTCCTCCCCAGCTCCCACTAGTCTGGCCCCAGAGCAGGAGCCCTGGTTTCCCCACTCGGCCCCTGTTTCACACCTGTGGGCATTTGCTGGGCTTCGCCCTGTGCCCCATCAACCCGAGAAGAAGCACAGCCCGCTCTCTGGCCGCAGGCACAGCTCTGGGGCCTGGCTCCTTCCTGGGGTCCCCAAGGCCAGGATCAGCTGAGACTTGGCAGAGTTGTGGGGTCCAGGGAGGACCCAGACTCTGCAGGACTGGGACGCACAGATGGTTCCACTGGGCTGCCTCCAGGGCTAGCAGTTCAGCCTGCCCCCAGGTGTGAGTCCTGACTCTGTGCCTCATCACTGAGCATTTTCAGGTCCTGAAGTCCTGTGCTGGGCCTCAGTTTCCCTGTAGTTAAGCTGCAAATCGCTCACCCAAGGTACTAAGCCTGTGAGGGCTGAGCTGTGGATCTTCCCACTTGAAATTCTAAGCCCTGCAGTACCTCTAACTGCCCAAGGATCTGTGCACAGGACAGTTCCCCTTCTCCATAAAAGTCCCTGTCCAGAGCCCCCACCAAAATAAAGCACTTTGACATTTACAAGTCTCTTTCTTCATGAAGAAGAAATATAAAATTATATTTTATATGTAGCCTCATATTGAGCTACTTCCTCAGTCCTCTATTTTTAGAGATGATCTCACAAAATTGCCCAACTTGCCAGTCTGGGCTTGAATTTGTGATCCTTTTGTCTCAGCTTCCTACAGTGCTGGGATTACACAGGTAAACCACCATGCCTGGCTATAATTAGAACCATCACATCTGCCTTATAGACCAGCCTCCTCTCAGTCCCTTCTGAGCTCCCCCAGGGGTTCGGCCCACTTCACAGAGGGGTAAAACAAGGCAGAAGGGCAACCCCACACAGGGGAAGGTGGCCTCACACCTGGGGGTGCCACATTCCTGCGCACCCTGGCTTCCGACTCTCCGCGCGGACCAGGGACTGGCTAGCCCGGCGTGGGTGAGGGTATGTGGGTCAGGGTGTGCCCGGGACAGTGCCACCCGTGTGACGGGGTGGCCAAACTCGTGCTGACAATGGACCGAGCGCGGGGGGGGGGGGGGAGCTTTACGGTCGGGCAGCACAGGGCAGGACAGGACGGTCCCCTGGCTGCTCTCAATCTCTCCACCACAGCTGGATGTGACCATCAACCTACTTCCCAGTGCAGCACACTGAGGCCCAGAGGCCAGTGGGGCCCATGGAGGAGTCTCCTGATTACTGCGTCCTAGACCGCCCCTCTCTGGCGCCTCAGCATTTGAGGCTAAAGAGCTAGGGGCAGGCTGGGGCGGCCCAGGGCATTGCGGATCTGAGCGGGGGCAGGATCTGAAGACCCCCCCCCCGCCTCAGTCCGTCACGAGGCTTTAGGGCGCTGGTGCGGCCCAGGTAACCAGGGAACAAGGTGCTGCCTCCCGGAGCCCAGGGTACGGGGGCAAGAGGCGCTGGGCAGCGAAACACATATCCGGGCTGCCCACTAGGCCCTGCCGCCAGCGCCTCCAGCCAGACCCTGATGGACCACCACTGATCTTCCCCGCCAGGAGCAGATGCTGGCTGCCCCCGCACTAAGAGGGATCCAGGGTGCAGGTTGCCGGCCTTCCAAGCCTGGCCTGTCCCTGCTAGGCAGGGGACTCCACGGCCAGCTCCTTCCACGGTTCCAACCACGGGATTGCTACAGCGGCTGCCTGGAAGATCCCCGCCCGTCCTCAAAGGGGGAGGGGGTGCCGGGGATGGAGTGGGGGGACAGGGGAGCCCTAGATGCGTCAGCTGCAGGCCTGAAGGGGGTTCACATGGAGAAGAGAAGCAGTTCTCAGTCTCTGGGGGCTGCAGGGCAGAGCCGGAGGAGAGAACTCGAGGGCCCCCTCGCCTCCCGGGGTGCAGGCGGCAAGGGGCGACGGGAGCCCTCTGCAGCCCGGACTAGACCAGCACCGGGCTTAGAATAAAGACAGTGGGGGCGGGGTCTCGCGACGGAGCAATCAGCTCGCTCCCGCAGGGAGCCAGAGCTTTGGAGGGGGCCCCGCCGCCGCGGTGTGGACCCATATTGGCCAGGAGAAGCCGGGCGCCCCCACTGCGTCCATCCCTCGTCCGCCGAGCTTCTGCTCGATTCAGCCGCCAGCGTGTGAGGCAGGGGCATGTGGCCCGGGCAGTACTCACTAGCCGTTCCGCGCCCCAGACCTGCAGCCACCCAGACACGCGAGCAGCCTTCCAGCCTTCTGCAGCTGCAGAGGGACAAGACTGGCTCCGGCTGGGCGTGGCCAAAATAATCCTCGCCCCACTTGGGTGCCTGAACGCAGAGGCCGGCCCAGCATCCGCTCGGCCTACTATTGACCCTTTCGTGGCGGGCGCTCCAGTATCCAACAGTGCTGATTGGCTGATCTAAAGGGTACCGTTTATCCTGCTGTATACCCGCCCATACGTGCTATCTGCATAATTTAAAGAGACAGGTATCGCTCCTTCCACTTGAAGCTGTAAAGGAGTAAACAGTGTATATGCCAGGCACCGAGAGAGGCTCACTGGATATCCCTACGAGTCTATGCGAGTGACAAAATTTCTTTGAGGCAAGGTCTCAAAAAATATAAATATGTGCAAGTACAAATCTGGGAAAATGTAATAGTTTATATAACTAATGCGCACTAATAAAAGATGTGAAGAAGAAAAAAAGTAAAAACACACAGTTACATCTAAACTGAGCATGGTGTTGCACGCTATTAATTCCAGCACTCAGGAGGCTGAAGCAAGAGGATCACACATTTGAGGCTGCCTTGGCGTTCAAGGCAACCGTACAACATAGCGAAACAGGTTTTTTTTTTTTTTTAAATCTTTTTACATCTGTCTTAAATATGTACACACATTTTCCTCTTCATGATTCCCTAAACAACACAATATAAAACCCTTTACAGAGCTCGGGATGTAGTTCAGTGGAAGAGCTCTTGCCTTGCTCTGAGTTCGATCCCCAGCAACACATACACAAACTATCTACAAAGGCCGGAAATTTAGCTCAGAGGCATAAGCGTCTGCCTGGGGAGCGCAAGGTCGTGAGTCTGATTCTTGGTATCAAAAAACAAACTAATTACAAAGAATTTAACTGTACGGAGTAGAGATTATGAGCCTGACTGAATCTGATCAGTCGGGCTCGGCTGCACACCACTTAAATGTCCTGAACCTTGAGGCAGCGGGTATGGGTCCAGGTCTCAGTTTTCCCATCTACTATAGGTCTTTTAGTCAACTTCCGTGTTTCTTTGGTGGGCAGATTTGGGCTATTGAGCAGGCGTAGACAGGACCCTGTGATTGGCTATCCCTTATGACGTACACGAGAACGATAGCGATGTTGACCCCACCCTTTCCGGCCACGCCTCCGAGTACGCGAGCCAGGCACGAGTGTACGTGGTCGCCACGCACCGTCGCCCTCACGGTGCGTGATGGCGTCAGGGCGCGCGGGCGCCATCCCGGAAGCGCGAGCAGGGCTGCCAGATGTGCAGGTGCCGCCGCCGCCGCCGAATCCGGGACCGTGTTTGGGATGGGGTTGGGGGCACCGGGGCCGCCAGGGAGCCGGACCGGGTCGGGCGCGGCACCGGGGCCGCCATGATATAGGGGCGCGCCGCTGGTCACATCTGGGCACTCCTGCTGTGCACAGGCCTCAGTTTCCCCGGCTGCGCAGTGGATGCACGGGTGATGCCGCCGGCCGGATCTGGATCCGAATTCGGACCTAGGACTCCGGTGTTGGGTTCGCCTGTGTACTGATTGTGCCTTGTCACCTGGAGTCGAGCGGTTCACTGCTTTTGCCTCAGTTTCTCGGCTCGGTGGGGGCGGGACGTGTATATTCGGGCCCACCCCGTCGGGCGTTTTGAGTTAAATTAACCGTGGCGTCTTTGCCTAGTTTGGACTTTAGGCAACTGAACCCATCCTTGTGAGCCTTTAGTTTCTCTCGGAGGTTGGTGGTGGCTGCCTCGTAGTGATTGAGAATTAAATGAAGTATTTAATCAAGTGAAAATCGAATGCAAGTGTTTGCCTCATATTCTTGGAGGCACCGTGAGGCTTTTGTCTAAAATGCTGATATTTTGGCGGTCCTGGGGCTTTATTTTAATTTTTGGTCTTTTTGAGACGGTTTCACTATGCAATTCAGGCTGGCCCTAAAAACTCACTTTGTGACCCAGGCTGGTCTTGAACTCCGGAGATCTTCCTGCCTCACACCTACCCCACCACAGCCCCCCAACTGCTGGGATTACAGTCGAGTGCCACCAAGCCTGGCAGTCCTGGGACTTTACATTCTTGTTGGAGAAATAGTTTACTCGAAGTGCTGCTTTTTAAAATTTTCTATTTTCAAGAAGCGGGATCTCTGTAGTGATCCTTTGGCCACAGCCTTTGAAGTGGCCTCAAGGTGGCCAGAACTTTGCTTTTTATCACATTTGATTTCAGTCCTTCTGATTTTGTCTTTTGTTTGTTTAGTTGTTTCATTTAGTTTTGTTCAGACAGGGTCTCAATTATATAGCCTAGGTTGAATTCCAACCTGGCAGTGTAATCCTCCTGTCTCAGCCTCCTGGATGCTGGGATTAGAGGTGTATGCCACCATGTCTGGTGAGCTCTTACCACCATTTCCTAAAATGAGACAATAGGGTCATGAAGGGACTCTTCCCAAGGTCACAAAACCTTCCTCTCTGAGGTTTTCTCCCATGCACGGATTCAGAGCACAGACCAGAGCCCCTGCTGGATCAGTGCCATCATGTGTGTGGTGGGCCACTATTAGTCTGGGAAGGAGGTCACCATAAACCCCATAGCCAACACATCTGGGAGCCAGAGACGGAAGGAGCCCTTCTTTGAAGCAGAATTGATTCCCAGGAGGTTCAAACTGTATACCTCCCCAGGCCCTAGCTGTGGGCCTCTCATAATTTTTTTTTTCTTTTTCATGGTGTTGGAGATGAAACCCACAGCCTGCAGATGTCTAGTCACATGCTCTATAGCTCAGCCCTGTTCTTTAAAATTTTGAGACAGGATCTCATTAAGTGACCAAGATAGACTTAAAAGTTTTGATCCCTCTGTCTCAGCCTCCTGAATAGCTAGGGTGCAGGCCATGGTGGCCAGGTCTAAGTCTCCTCTGTACATACAATTGTGCTTCTTAGAAATGCAATTTGGGGGCCAGCGATTTAGCTCATTGCCATAAGCACAAGGTCATGAGTTTGATCCCTGGTACCAAAAAAAAAAAAAAAAAGGGAAATGTGATTTGGGGTGACCATGCCCAGCATATAGGAGGCACTCAGTAAAAATGGTTAAAGCTGGAGGAGGGTTCCACTTCCTTGTGCAGCCCACCTCTGTTTTACTTATTTATTTTTGTCTTTTTAAAATAGGGTTTCACTAGCAGTTCACGCTGGCCTTGAACTCTAGGTGATCCTCCTGCCTCAGACTCCCCAGTGCTTGGATCACAGTCATGCACCATGACATCTGGTGCAGTTCACTTCTAGAAGAGATTGAGGGCACAAATAGATATTCTTAGCGGGACATGATGCATATGACTGTGATCCCAGCACTGGGGAGGCTGAGGCAGGGAGGATCACCTTGAGTTCAAGGCCAGCCTGGGCTACATAGACAAAAACAAAACAGATTTAATATTCTTGGGCTTTCTATTTGGGGAAAAGTTTGTTGCTACATTTTGCAAAGCAGGCAGTTTCACAGAGGAAATGAATGCATATTAGCATCTTTTTTCCCTTTAGACAGGGCAGAATGTGAAACACAGCTGTGACATGCAGCTGTCCCGCTCCAGGTGAATGTCAAGCTCCTGTTTACAACCACAGCTGGCTGAAACTGGGGCCCTAGGTTTCTCTGAGCCTCAGGTTTTTCATCTCATGAGGACAGTTTCAATGTGTGAGGTTTAAACTTGGTCCTGGCTATGGTAGGTGTTCCACAGATAGGGGGGTGGGGACATAAATTAAATAGACTGTGGCCTTTCCCCACTCCCCGCTCCCCATTTTTTTTTTTTCTGAGACAGGGTCTCAGGTGTAGCCCAGGTGGCCTCAGACTCATGGCATGGCTCATTGCGTCCTCACTGTGTGTGTGTGTGTGGGGGGGGGAGTTGGGAAGGGGTCCTCCATCATCCTTGGTGCTGAGTGGACGCTGTCATTTCAGGCAGCAGCGGAGGAGGAGAGAGCGATGGACACCCCAGACTCGGCCTCGAGGCTCTTCTGCAGCCGGATCTTGAGCATGGTGAATGCCGACGACGTGAATGCCATTATCCTGGCCCAGAAGAACATGTGAGTTTTGTGGGGTTCAGGGTGGGTGGAGCGATGGTGGCAGAGCTGCTAGGTCCAGAGGCGGAGCCACAGTGGGCCAAGCTACGGGGTCCGGTGGGCGGAGCCACATTGTGGGAGCCACTGCCTGTGCAGGATGGGTGGGAGGATTATGGGAAGGGCTGGGGCGGATGCAGCCCAAGCCCCCACTGCATTGTAGGGGCAGCTGCATCTTCCTAGGGGCTCTGTATTTTTATTAATTAATTTATTTGTTTGTCTTTTGGAGACAGGGTCTCGCCATGCGGTTCAGGCTGGCTTTGAGCTTACTTTGTAGCCCAGGCAGGCCTCACAGAGATCCTCCTGCCTCAGCATCCTAAGTGCCGGAATCACAGGCTTGTACCATTATGCCCAGTCCTAGCAACTCTTCATTTATTTAGGGGACCTGGGCTGGAAACCAGCATTGTACATGCCACACAGCTGCTCTGCGCTGAGCCATGCCCCCAGCCCTGTGCTCTTTAGGGCAGATTCAGACCTGGCCCCGGGGACCTCCCAGACTGGGCGGGGACAGGAGCAGACCCAGCCCACCTGGCCTGAAGGGTCAGGACCTAACCAGGGGGAGCGCCTTGGGACTGGTCACGTCTAAGGAAGCAGATCAGATCAGGGAATGGGGAGAAGCGCCCAGGGGAAGGTGCGAAGATTGTTTTTCTGTGACTGACAAAATACTCCAAACAATAATTTAAAATAGGAAAGAGTGAGCCAGGCACAGTGGTATTTGCCTGTCTTCTCAGCCTGGGGAGGCTGAGGCAGGAGAATTGCTGCAAGTTCAAGGACAGCCTGTGCTATATGGTGAGACCCTGTCTCAAAAGTAAAAGGGTGTGAGTTCAAAAGTAAAAGAGTGAGATCGTAACAAAGAGTACACTTCTCTTTTTTGGTACCAGGGATTGAACTCGCAATCTTGCGCTTGCCACGAAGGCACTTATGCCACTGAACTAAATCCCCACTTCTTTCCCCTACAGTACTTGGGGTTGAATCCAGGTCTTTGCCTAGAGGTGCATCCCTATCTCTTTTGAGAGAGAGCCAAATTGCCCACACAAGGCTTGAACTCACACCCTTCTTTCTTCAGCTTGCCAGAGCCCTGGGACTACAGCCATGTGGCCCTGGCCTGCTTTCTAGTAGCATTTCTTTGTATTTTTTTCTCAGTTGGGTTTTAAGGTTTGAATAGGAGTTTCCTGGCTGTTGTAAACATGCATAAAGTAAGGGAGCAGCCTCCAAGAGGGCCAGGGCCCCACGTGATCGGGCGGTAGCACCCTGGAAGCCGGGCAGGGCTACTCATGTCTCTCGGCCCTCAGGCTGGATCGCTTCGAGAAGACCAATGAGATGCTGCTGAATTTCAATAACCTGTCCAGCGCCCGCCTGCAGCAGATGAGTGAGCGCTTTGCGCACCACACAAGAACGCTAGTGGAGATGAAGCGCGACCTGGACAGCATCTTCCGCAGGATCAGGTGCACCTACCAGCCCCGGCGGGTCTGTGCTTCACTAATAAAGTCACCAAAGAAAGGATAGGGAGAAGAGGGCAGGAAGTCTCAGAAAATCAAGCCCGGCATGGTGGTATACACCTGTGATCCCAGCACGCAGGAGGCTGAGGCAGGAGGGTCTTGAGTTGGAGCCCAGCGAGACCCCGTCTCAAAGTGAAAAAAGAGGGTCAGGAATGCAGCTCAGTGCAGAGGCCCAGGGCTCAGGCCCCAGTATGAGGGTGGGGAGAGAAACAAGTGCCCAAAGGTAGAGGAGGTGGCACCCAAGGGCGTCATAGGGAGAGCATGGTGGGACAGCAAGGTGGTTGGTGCCACTCAGGGTGAAAGGCACTGGGCTCCTGACAGAGACAGGGACAGAGAAGGCCCAGCTCCATGGGTGCAGGCGCTCTCCTACTGCCTGGCTGCCCTGGGCCCCTGCCAACCCCTGCCCTGAAGGGTAGCTTGTGTCCCTTCTGTCTCCACAGGACGCTGAAAGGGAAACTGGCCAGGCAGCACCCAGAGGCCTTCAGCCGTAAGTGTCACAGCGCTGCTGGGCCCCGGGGGTGCCCTTGAGCTGGTGCTGAGCCCTGGTCCCAGGGTGCCTGCCCTGGGAGCCACAGATATGGTGGAGGACATTGACTGTCCCTGCCCCAGCATGTGCCTAAGAGCCCTTAAAGGTTGAGGCTGTCACCCAGTCATCTGGCTACCAGGGACCTCAAGGGTCTCCGTTCATAGAGGAGGAACCTGACACCCAAAGAGGAAGTGATGTTGCCAGAGGAAGCCGGAACCCTTTCTGTCTGGCTCGCCCAGTGGATCCCCGCCATGCTGAGCCTTTGTTTACCACTTGTGCAAAGTCAGCCAATGGCTCTCTGTTCCAGGACTGGTGACAGCCAAGGCCATGCTGGCCTGATCTGGGAGTCCTGTCCTGCCCGCACCTCAGTGTCCTCTGTACAGCAGGCTGGGCCATGTCCTGGTGCAGTGGAGGGACTGCTAGGGTCCCCTGCATCTGAACAAGGCCCTACCCTACCCGCCGGTCCCCTCCACAGATGTCCCCGAGTCACTTTTCCTGGAGGATGAAGATGAAGACCCCATCCCACCCAGTGTCACCACCACCATCGCCACCTCAGAGCAGAGCACGGGCTCATGTGACACCAGCCCAGACACCATGTCGCCCTCCCTCAGCTCTGGCTTTGATGATCTGTCCCATGTCCAGCCCAGCTCCCCTGCTGTCAATGGCCACAGCCCAACAGACCCCAAGGAAATGCCAGGAGAGTAGCCCACTCTGTGTACTCCGGCCCCAGGTGTGGTCCTGGGTCCAGGGGGGTCTAATTCCCAAGGTGCCCCTCGGACCCCAGCACCTCAAGGGAGCCTGGCCCAGCCATACCCAGGCTTGTCGGTATCTCGGGGTGGCTGCAGGAACAGGCTCAGAGCTGGGCCCCAGATCTTCTCTGAACAGTACTTAACATGTCCCCAGGTTCCCCTGTCCTGGTCAGGACATCCCAGAAATGGACCTGCAGTGTCACTTCCGAGTTTGCCTAGGCACCCCTGTGCCCTGCCGCTAATTCTGGCTTACCTACACCTCTCCAGCTGTCAGCTTGGAGCTAGGTGCAGGGCTGGACACAGACCCGCCCTCAGCCCTGGACCTGGCCTGCTCGGAAGTGAGGACCCTGCAGCCCAGCAGGTGTCACCCAGGGCCTTTCCTCAGCCACCGAGGAAAAGTTTCATGGAATATTTTTGTACCCGATGTTTACAGATGCTGTTGGGAAGTTATAAATAAAAGACTCTCATTAAGAAGGGACAAACGGCAGCTTCAGCTGCCTTCCATCCTCAGGCCCAGCCTTGGGCAGTGGTGGTGTGTGTGGGCAAGGCTCTGCTGGGCAGTGCGGACGAGTTTGGGCTGCTCTTGACAGATCCTGGGTGACAGCCTTAGGAACCCAGCTCTTGCCTCCACGTGAATCCTCCCACTTTCTGTTCCCTGATTTCTCAGCTTCCAATGAATACCCTGGAGCAGTCAAAAATTAATGTTGTTAAAGGTGTCTGGCCAGCAGAGTGGTACGAGTCAGTAGCCCTGCCACTGTACTAGGGAGACTGATGAAGGATCACTTGGCTGGGCACAGTGGCTGTGATCTCAGCACTTGTGAAACAGGCAGGAGAATCATTTGCAAGTTCGAGACCTGCCTGGGCTACAAAGTTAGCTCAAGGCCAGCTCTGAACTGCATAGCGAGACCCTGTCTCAAAAAGACCAAAAAGGAAAATAAAAAAATCACTTAAACCCAGGAGTTTGAGACTGGCCCTAATAGTACACTGTCAGAAACACATGCACAAACGCTGAGCATGGTGGGATGACAGGTGTCACAATGGTTAAGAGGCAAGGCAGGAGGATCTCTTGAGTTCGTGACCAGCCTGGACTACATGCAAGACCTTGTCTCAAACAAAAGAAAACCTGAAGGCATCTTCCCGGAGTGGAAGAGGTACATGCTTTTTTTTGTTTGTTTTTTTTCCCCCGTCAGATAGGTAATGTGCCTAAGGTTCAAAGGAGGCACATGTCATACATGGAGCATGAACACCCAATCATCACGCTTATGAACCTGAGGATCTGAGGCACAAGCTTTTGCCTCGCGTACCAGCGTAGGGGAGTGCAGAAGGCGACGCACGGCCAGGCTTATAGACAACCCAGCTGCGTTGCCCATGGATCGGTCTCTAACACCCCGAGCCCCTGGCTATGCCGATCCAACCCTGCATCTCCACCGTCTGCACCATTCCTCTGCTGAGCAGAAAACATTCCCCTACAGCGTTCGCGTACCCAGCCGTCGCCAAGGCGACCGTGGCTCCAAGTACCTGGAGAGGCGCAGCCTCATCACGTGGCTCGGAGGGCGGTGCCTGGGTCCGGAAGCGGTTTTGCTTGCTCGCCTACACGCCCGGCGATTCTTTTGCCAGTATCCTACTTGACGGCGTCGGGGGCGGGGCCTGGGGCGGGACCAGCTTCGCGGCGCGGATTGTGACGCAGCGCGCGGCGTGCTGGGTGCGCAAGCGCTCTCGGCAGTGAACTGACGGTTTCCGGTTCCGCCGCCCTCTTTCTCTTCAACGAGGCGGCCAAGCGGGTAGGTGTCGGAGGTTGCGCTGCTTCGCGTCGGGTTGGGGGTTGCTGAGGATTTATTGTCCCGGGAGGCGGAGAAGGCGGACCTGAGCCCACCAGGAAGGGTAGCGGGGTCTCGGAGCCAGCCTTGGGTCGGCGGTGCGGAGCGCGGCCTCTGGGGGAAGGGGCGGCCCGCCAGTTCCGAGCCGCGCGACCCACGAGGCTTGGGCCATCAGATCCTCACTGCTTAAGTTGGGCCTCTATCGGGTTTGTGAAACAATTTGGGTACGTAACTCAGGCTGGTATTGAGTTTCTGAGTAGCCACGTCGGCTTTTAACTCTCAATTCTGTCCCAGCCTTCCAAGTGCGGGTGGGTGGCGTCACTTTCCCTTCACCGTCCACATTTTTGTGAGCCGTGTGTAAACAAGTTCCAGGCCGCGTGGTCCTGAGCGTGCTGGATATGGAACCCATGGTCTGTTATGTGCTTCTCCCTTAGTCCTCGCCCTTGCTTATTAGTTTCGGGGAAGGCAGGAAGCAAGGTCTGGGGAGTTGGCGCGTAGCGAGGGGCACCCAGAGCGTTGGGTGTTCCAGCGCGGAGGTGGAAAAGGGAGTGGTGTGTGTCTTGAAGAGGCGGGGTCCCCATGCAGGCAGATACTAAGGGCCCGTGGCCGCCAAAGCAGGACCGTGGGAGGCTGTGCAGATGAGGTCACCAGAGACGCATGCCAGCCTGGGGATTCTAAGGGATCTCTCCCTGAGATAAACCTGTAGGCCTTTATCTCTGTTTTTAAAATTTTGAGACAGGGTTTTGCTAAGTTGCCCCCATGACCTCCGACTTGAGAATCTACCTGTCCCAGCTTCCACCTGCAAAGAATTGGGTGTCCTTCAGGGGCAGAGCCACTTGCTTACAGGCCCTGGCTTCCATATCCAGCACGTGTAAACAACAGTATCCAGAACGGGGCGGGGGAGAGGGAGTGGGTGGAGGAAGCCAGCACTTAGGTTATACAGGGTGTGAGAGGCACCGAGGGATAGAAGGAAAGGACAGCTCGGAGCTGCCTGAGGTCGGGATGGCATCAGCCGCAGGAGGCAGATGTGTCCCACTCAGGGCTAACCCCCCCCCCCCCCCAGCAAACGCAGAAATGCAGATATTCGTGAAGACCCTGACAGGCAAGACCATCACCCTTGAGGTTGAGCCCAGCGACACCATCGAGAATGTCAAAGCCAAAATCCAAGACAAGGAAGGTGAGTTGGGTTAGGTCGGCGCTCTGTCCCCACCTTGATCTGCCACTGGGTGCAGGGGAACCTGTGCAATGTGAGGCAGGGGTAGTGTTAGAGCCCTGCCTTGCTTCTTCGTCCATGTGTGGCTTTGGAGGAGGGCTGAGAATCTGGTGGCGCCCTTGAGAGTGGAGGTCCTGGTCCCCCTGCAGGAAGGAGCTGTGGAGCAGTTGGCAGTAATCCCACAGCCCTCAGCTCTTTGTCTTGTCCCCCTGCAGGCATCCCACCTGACCAGCAGCGCCTGATATTTGCCGGCAAACAGCTGGAGGACGGTCGGACTCTCTCGGACTACAACATTCAGAAAGGTACCGGTCTGGGGGCTCCTTGGGGTACCCAAGAGGTCGTTCCTGTGAGGATAAGGCTGGGGTGTTGGCCCTGGGTTCTCTGGACAGCACCCAGAACAAAAAGGATGAGCATCAGGGCAGGAATTCTGCTTTGTCAGGTGCTCGTCTGTTACTGGAAGACATCTGGTCCCTGTTCCAAGATGGCATTGGTTACTCTTCTGTTTTGTTTTACAACTTTTTTTTTTTTTTTGTCTTCTGTTTTGTTTTTAAATGACTGGCGAGAATATAGGTGTTGTGGTGTTTTGTTTAGAACGGATGATGGGCTTTGGAGGTGTAGCTCAGTCGGAGGGGCAGTTCCATCCCCATCCCCAGCTCCAGGGAAGAAAATCCCATGATCGGGCTGGAGATTTAGCTCAGTGGCATAAGCGCCTGCCTTGCAAGCAGGCAGTCGTGAGTTTGATCCCCGTTACCGATAAAAAGGAAAAAGACCAAAAAAAAAAAAAATTCCATGATCGGGGCTGGGGATTTAGCTCAGCGGCATAAGCGCCTGCCTTGCAAGCAGGCAGTTGTGAGATCGATCCCCAGTACCGATAAAAAGGAAAAAAAAAAAAGAAAAAGAAAATCCCATGATTTAGAAGAATCAGTTCTTTGCCAGGTGTGAGCAGCCTGGGCCTGCCCAGAGCATCACCTTGGGGTCCCGAGCTCACTGGGGGCTGTGCCCTGAGTCTGAGCTGCCACCCCTCACTTGTTCCTCCAGAGTCTACCCTGCACCTGGTGCTGCGCCTGCGAGGTGGGATCATCGAGCCGTCTCTGCGCCAGCTGGCGCAAAAGTACAACTGTGACAAGATGATCTGCCGCAAGTATGTGGGGATGCTGGGGCAGGGAGCAGGGGCAGAGGCAAGAGGCACAGGGTACACTCACCAGCTGCCCTCTCCCTGCTAGGTGCTATGCCCGCCTGCATCCCCGTGCCGTCAACTGCCGCAAGAAGAAGTGTGGCCACACCAACAACTTGCGCCCCAAGAAGAAGGTCAAGTAGATCCTTGCCGGCCTCTCCTCCAACAGGTGCTAGGCACCGTGGCCTCAGCGCCTGAATAAAGTCTCCCTCACTTGACTAGAGCAGCAGCTGTTGTCCGTGTGCCATTCTATTCCAGGCACTGCTACAGAGTGGCCCTCTTTCTTTGTCACCTTTTTGGGTTCTCTATGAGGTGGTGTTGGCCCTGGGCCCTGAACATTTTTCCCCCAGCCAAGCATGAGTCACTTGGAGGCCCAATTCCAGCCTAGGGCCTGTCCCGAACCAGGAGCTGAAAGCCTGGCTGGGCTGAGGCTCACCCACGGGGCCCTGGGCCTGGGCACTGAGGGTCCTGGTGTGGGTCACCTGCTGAGGAGGCCACACTTGGCTTTGACGGTGAGGTGGTTGTGAAACCAGAGGCTTGAGATTCTGCTGCTTGGCAGGCAGTGTGCCCAAGCTGCACCCTTACCTCTTCAGGGTTTTGGGGGGGTCAGGGTTAGCTCTCTGCCCACCAGGATCACAGGTGTGCCAGTCATGCTGGGCTGGAAATGCACCCCACAGGGTGGCAGCCTCCCCTCCCAGGATACCATCCCAGCCTGCAGTCTGGTTACCCCCACCTTAGGCTGGTCCGCAGGTTAGTTGTCACTGCCTGCCACCACCAAGCACAGTAGGTCCTGTATAGGGCAAGTGGGACCTGGCTGGGGCTGCAGAGCTACAAGATGTTCGCTGGTTCCAAACCATACCCCTTATTCCTGGGTGAATGGAGCACAGAAAGGAGAGTCAGACCATATATCCTGGAGACAAACCTGGGTTACTGTATTTCCCAGGCACAGGGACCTCCCGGCCGGCAGGGGGCGCTGGGCGCAGCCAGTGCTGCGAGCTACGCATGGCCGGGCTGCGCAGACGATCACCACAGGGGCCGGAGTCGCAGAGGACTATGCCTTTACTGCAGTGCACAGCACTACAGATGGCCCTGGTTGAGCAGGACCTCCATCGAGCAGCTGCAGGCTGAGCACGTGGGGGCCTTCTGCCAGTTGGAGGCATGAGTGTGGAAGGGCAAGCAGCTAGCAGGGCCCGCCTGGGTCCTGGGATCACCACCCATCTGTGAGGGCCCTGGATGCGGGGCAAAGGCTTCAGGACCTTCGCCTGCCGCAGCGTGCACCACCAGTACTTGCAGTGGCCCACACCACGACTTTGCCCGCTACTAGAGCTCCGTGCATGAGGTGACCCAGGCCTTTGCCACGGGCTCACTTGAGGTGCTGGCACTGGAGGCTGAACTGGCTGGGCCGCGTGCCTAGCCGCTGCTTGTCAGCCATGTCTGCAGCCCACAACAGCTGAAGCAGACACACCTGGTGCACCCTCCAGTATATCGGCCTGCCCCTGGGCATTCTCTGACCTTGCTCCTTAAAACCTTCCCCATAAGGGCCAGGGATTTAGAAACAGCATAAGCACCAGCTTCGTGAGCGCAAAGTCATGAGTTCGATCCCCAGTACCAAAAAAACAACCTTCCCCATGGTTTCTTTTTTGGTCATCACAGGGCTTTGAACCCAGAGCCATCACACTGAGTACATCCCCAGCACTTTTTTTTTTTAATTGGTACCGGGGATCGAACTCACGACTGCCTGCTTGCAAGGCAGGTGCTTATGCCGCTGAGCTCAATCCCCAGCATTTTTAATTCTTGGAATAGGCTCTCACTAAATTGTTCAAGTTTAGGTTGAACCTGTGATCCTCCTGACTTAGCCTCCCACAGTGCTAGGATTACAGGGGTGTACCCTCAGCTTCTTCCCCAATTTTATCACAAACTCTTGTTCCTCGCTCCGTGGAAACCCTCACTTCATCCCTGCCCCGCTGAACGATATTCCCAGAAGCCTGAATTCACCTTCCGGAGGATCCACTCCTCAAGTGTTGCCACTTTTTGGACCGGGAGTCGATCTCAGGACCTTGCACTTGCCATGTAGGTGCTGTGCTGCTGAGCTATAGCCTTGGCTTGGTTCATAATCTGCCAATAAAGCAGGCATAGTGTTGCATCCCTATCATCCCAGCCCTTGGGAGGCTGAGCCAGAACTGCTTCGACTTCAAGGCCAGCTTGGGCTACAAAGTGAGTTCAAGGCCAGCCTGAACCAGTCAGCCTCAAGCGGATTCTCAGGCCATGCCCCCTACAGTCTCTAGATGGGTCACTTCCTAACTGAAGCCTACTCTGACTTTCAGCTAATCTTGGCCCAGGGGTGGGACCTCCACTTGAAGCACACCTACAGTGCACTTTGCTTTAGGATTCCCGGGCCTAATTCTTGTCCCACGATGAGTTTGGGACCATACAGACCCTTCCTACGCCATAACTGCTGCCCATCTCTGGTTGTTAGTTCAGGGTTTTCCCAGTCCACACACACAGGAGGCCAGACTGGCACGCTTCTTGTGGGCCCTGCCCCATGTCCTGCCCCTGCCCTGCAGAGCCCTGTCCCACATGGCTCTTCCTGCACTTTCTGGATTCAAGACTCTGTAACAGTGAGGGAGGCCAGCCCACGGAGCTGGCCATGCAGGAGGATGCTGTGCGGATGCACCAGCTGAAGCTCAAATGAGCGCTGCTGCCCATCAAGCTGGCCTAGTTGGGTTTTTGGGGTGTCCTCACCTGGCATCCCTATACACACTTTTCCACAACTTGAGTGCAAAAACTTGGTGGGCTGGTGGGACGAAGCTACTCTGCTGGACTTGGGACCTGGCACACCTGGCACACCCTGCACCGGGATGCTCAAGCCCCAAGCCACAGCGCCCTGCACCTTCCCCATGCTGCCTGCAGCCATGGCAGCAGACAGACAGAAGGGCCCAGGGCTCCCACCACCCCTCTGTGCTAACCTCGAAGCGGTGGCTAATTCACCCCATCTGGGTTTTATTTATAGTTCTCATCCGCTCTCCCAGGGTAATTAAAACCATGGAGGCCATTGTCGAGGTTCTCCAGGACCTTAGGTTTGATGCAGAATCTGCAGAGTGATGGTGCTTCCCCGGGGACACTCAAGGGAGCTGGGAAATGACCTGACCAAATGCACTGACCGCCAGCTGGCTGATGTTGTGGCCCCTGGGGCCAGGACCCCTCCACCATGGCACCACCAGCACCGCCCACAATAAAGAAGCCTGTGTCTGCACTCATGGCCTCTGTCCTGGGGGCCTGTGCCTCAGGAGAGGGGGTCAGGGGGGAGGGGGAACTGAGGAGGCCCGTACTTTGCCTGAAACACTCAGTTCTGACTCACAGTTCTGTCCACACTGCAGGACTTGCAGGGAAACCTGAAATTTTGGGAGGGGAGTTCCAGTCCCAAAGGTGCTCTCCAATGCTCCCCATCTCCCCCAAGCCCCACAGCCCCAGCAGGGCTTCCCACACCTCCACCATCAGAGCACCTAAATAGCTCATTTATTTCAAATGTCTTGAGGGACCCCAACCTGGGCGAGCAATGGGCCCTTTGACCCTGAGTCCTGGCAGGGGGTCCAGGCAGCTCAGCCAATCCCCGCCCCCATGCTGGGGTGCTCCCGGGGGTGGGGCTGTCGAAGACTTCAGAGCTGCCTGTCTCCTGCTGATGGTGCTGGATGCCATGAAGTGAGGGTACATTCCCACTTGGTCTCTGTGTCTCCACGAAGCCCGGGTCACTACAGCTTATCTGGCAGGACCTGTGGGCACAGAAGCCAGGCTGAGGCAGGAGCTGAGAGGCGGCATAGGGCTGTCCTTGGCTGCTTTCAGCTGTGTGGCCTTAGTGTGGACACTGCCCCTCTCTGGGCCTTGATTACCTCTTCTAAGAAGAGAGGCTTTCTGGTGGTCATTTCTGTGCGACCCCTGCAGGGAAAGCCCTTATCCCTATCCCGGGGCCAGAATGCAGCTGTTCCCATGTTTACTAAAGAGAATGAGGTCACAGAGTCGAGACGCCTAGAAATCTGTGTCTCTTCCTGCCACCCAAACTCGACCTGCTACCGCGACCCCCTTACCTCTCGCCGCACCCCGTCTGCCCGAGGGCAGGATCCCCTCGTCCTGTGCTTGGAAAGAAGGCAGCAGCGTTGTGGGGGCTGCAGACTTGCGTAACTCCATCCTCCCACCCCCACCTCCCCTTCCGGCACCTTCGGGTCCCCCCCTCCCTACCTGGTTGCGGGTCTTGTGCGACTTCTGCATCCAGGCCCGCCACTGGTCGTAGAGGCGGAAGCTGAGGTTCGAGCAGTACGCGTGCTTCTTAAGCCAGCCCAGGAACTGCTTGAGCTCGCGCCGCACCGGGCCCGAGCTCGGCTCACCGCCCCGCGGCTCGCACGCCCCGCCACCCGGGCCCGGGCGCTCTAAGGGCGGAGCGCAGTGTCGGGCGCGGCCGGCAGGGGGCGCGCGCGGGCAGGCGCGGAGGCGGCGCGTCGGGACCCGCGCCCCTCGGCCCGGCGCCGCCTCCCGCGTCCGGGGACCGCATCTGCCTCAGGCCAGCTGCACCCCGGGGAGGAGGTGCGGGGTGGAGCGGCCCCTCCCCCAAGGCCCCTGCAGGAACCGGATTCCCGCTGCCAGAGCCAGGTGTGAATGCAAGCGGGGGGTGGGGTGGGGTGGGGAGCAGGGCCAGAGGGACAGAGACAGACAGGGCGGGCGGCCGGAGAACGAAAAAGGGAGAAATGCAGGCGACACGGAGGCTGGGGGGCGGCGGGAGGCCGGAGACCTGGGAACAGGCGGCCCAGGGTGTTCGGGAGGGACCAGAGGCCCTGGAGACACAGGGACCGGCAAAGCAAGCAGGAGAGGGGATGCTTGGGGTCCTGGGTTCTCTCCACAGTTCTGGAAGAGGAAGGAAGAAGAGAAAGAGAAGGAAATGAAGAGAAAGAGGAAGGAGGGAGAGGGAGTAGGAGACGAGGGAGGAGTGCGGGGGGGGGGGGCAGCGTGTGAGGCGTCCCCCGGGACAGTCCCCAGGACGCGCGCGGGCCAGCGCCAGCGGCCGGGAGTGGCTGAGGCCAGGTGGGCGGCCGCCCGTCTGTCTGTCCAGCGCAGGCGACGGCCAGCTCCAAGCAGGCCGGCGGATAAGGACATCGGCCTCACGTCATAAATAAAGCCGGGGACCCGCTGACAGGCCCTGGCACGGCCCCGGCCTCCGCCGCCCCCACCGGCCTCCCCCGGCCTCCCCCAGCCTCCCCAGCGGCCTCGACCGCCTTCTGGCTCCCGTGCAAGAATCGCAGGTGCTGGGCACGAGTAGGGGCCAAGGCGCAGGCCCCTCCCGGCGCTTGCTCCCGCCCACCCCAGAACCTGCAGGGGCCCCGATGGGGGCTGGGGAGCTGGCTGCAGCCTGCTTCTGCCCTTTCCTGGCTCTGGAACTCTTTCTGGGCCTCAGTTTCCCCACCCGCCAGGGTGGGCTGGACTGTCACTGAACTTAGTCTGGGTCCAAGAGTGACCTCCTAGAGCCAAGGAAAAGGGGACCGCCCTAGGGTGATGTCATGAGGGGGGCTGGGGACATCTTTACCTAACATCTGCAGAAGGGATTCTGTCCCTAAGCCTCACAACAGCCCAGGCCAGGTGCGACTCTCACCCCCACTTTCTAGGTAGGGAAACTGAGGCCACACACTCCAAGTAATGGGTTTCATACCATTTCACAGGGGAGAACACAGAGAATCCAAAGGTGTGGGGAGGCCCCAGAGGCTAACAGTCAGACCCAGCCCCTACTTCCTCCCATCCCTAGAAAGAAAGGGATGCAGAGGCCCAACCTCAGAGACTCAACTCTCTTGGTCTCTGGGGCTGAGTGTGGGTAGAGTGGATGAGTGGACCAGGTGGCAGTGGGGCAGATGGTGAGGCAGCGTCCCACGAGGGACAGCCACCACTGTGGGGCCAACAGCAGTGTGGGCTGTTTGGTCCCATTTTTTGCAGAACTCGTTTTTTTGAGGAAATCTAGGGTTTTTGTGTACAAACCTCCTATTTTTGTTTGTTTTTTGAGACAGGGTCTTCCTATGTAATTTAGGCTGACCTTTGAACTCTCAGCGGTCCTCCTGCCTCAGCCTCCCCAGTGCTGGGATAACAGGCATGTGCCATCATGCCATGCACTTCATGTTTTTGAATCTCTGCCTATAGGTCATACTCCTCCCACCTCCCAAAAAGAGCCCAAGTCAACCTGGGGGTCGCACATGGCCCCGGAGGTCACCTGTTGGAGACCTCTGCTTTCTGGGAGAAACAAGCAGGGATGTGGAGCTGGGTGGCCGGACGCCCCATCCCGGCCCTATTGAGATGCTCACCGCTGCGTGGTGTGGAAGCGGCAGTAGGGTGGCTCCACTCACTCCAGATCCCAGCCTTCTTGGAGCCATAGATGCCAAACGGGTTGCAACGCACTTGGACGAAGTAGACTGTGCCAGGCTTCAAGCCAGCCAGGCGGCAGGAGGTCTGGTTGCTAACATCATCCACCACCTGGACAGCGAGGGCGGGGCCAGGTGGGGGCGTGGCAAGTGGAGGGTGGGGCCAGATAGAGGGGTATGGGTAGGTGGGACAAGGCCAGATAGTGACCAGTAGGGCTGGGCGAGCACCTTCCAGTCCACACTGTCCTCCACGCGATAGCGGATCTGGTACTTGGCTTGAAAGAGGAAATCCTTGAGAGCTGGTGGCGACACCCAGCGCACGCTCAGCTGGTCCTCTAGGTCCCCAACACGGCTCACGTGGACGTCGGGCGGAGGGTCCGTGGTCACTGTGGGGTGGAGCAGAGCCTGTTCACTTGGGACCCCTCTTGGGTGGTCAATGATAGTCTAGGATTGTGCAGGCGCGTAGCTGAAGTGGCCCTACCTCCGTTTCCCCTCCCCCTCCTCCCTCCTGTCCTCTTCCAGCTCTCTGCCTGCCCAGTGCATTACATGATACAGTACTCCAGAAACACTCAGCCACTAGCGGCACTCAATTAACGTTAGCTGTTATCGCCTGTATTATCTGTGATGGGAGAAACATAATTCTGTTTCCCAGGGGCTGCAGAAAGTGGAAGCTGAGGGCTGGGGTCAGACCCAGCTCTACAAAAATGGAGTGAACTCCGCTTGGCTTGTGACAGTTTTCATCCAGAGCTGCTGCACCCCTCACCTCTGTTCCTTCCCGCTGCACCAAAACTTGCCCTGGACTCAGACACGACAGGGGCTCAACTACTTTCACAATGCAGCCTCAGGATGCCATAAGAGGGGAACCCTACACACACCTTGGGCCTTGGGGAGGGCCCGCCTCTCCCACAGGCCTTGCCAAGGGGCCGAAAGGGTTAAGGCACAGGCCTGCCTGGGGCTGAGAAACACCCTAATTAGATTAGGCGCAATTCTGCGCAGGGATCATCCACTTCCTGCCTCCCGCCCTCACCTCTCAGCTCTGGGCCTCGGCTTCCTGGGGCGCCTGCTGACCTGGGCGCCCCCTCCTGCTCCCCTGGGCCCGGCTCCTGCACACCTGGCTGCTGCAGGGGAGGTGCCAGGCCAGGTGTTCTCTACAGAGCCAGGCTATCCTGGCTGTTTTGGGGCTTGGGATGGGGATATGGGTGCCCAGCTGTCCCCTGTCCCACAAAAGGGACAGAACTAGAGTCGGAGCCACAGCTGGGGGTGGAATACAGAGAGGACAGGGCAGTGGGCTGGGGCTCACCCACATCCAGGATGTCCAGCGTGAGCACGTCGGAGCGGGCTGAGCCCAGGCGGTTGGAGGCCTCCACCCAGATCTCATAGGGTGTGAAGAGAGCCAGGTCCTTGGGGATGCGGCAGGAGTGTGGCCCTACAGTGTGGTACTCCTCACAGGTGTTGTCCTGCCCATACCACCTGTGGGGCGGCAGGGGATCCAGACATAGAAGGGGAGGTCCCTCCTGGTCCTCAGACCTCACTGTGGTGGCCTAGGGGGTACAGTTCTGAGAAGGCCCAGGCTGGGCCTTGGAGGGGACAGCGCCCACCTGAGCTTGTACTTGAGGGAGTAGTTGGTGTGCAGGAAGGTCTCGCCATGGGCGCCTGGCGTCCAGCGGCATGTGAGGTCCTTCATATTCTTGGACCAGCAGCTGATGTTGAAGGGCTTCTCGGGGGGCACTGAGGGAAAAGAGGGCGGTGGAGCATGACTTGGACGGTCTCAACCCTGACCCATGTGGCCAAGCTGCTTGGGGCCCTCAGGGTGCAAGGCAGGAAGCATTCTAATGACAGTAAGCAGTGACCCACCCCCGAGTCAAGCCACACCCCAGGCGGATGCTGCTCTCCGGGACCTGTTCAGCTCTGCGTGTCCTTGGGCCACTTACAGCCGATGTAGAGGCAGGAGCCAGCCAGGATGCTCCCATCGCGGGCATGACACACAAGGTTGTCCCCGGACTGCTGCCTGGATCCATTGAGGTTGACCAGGACCAGGGCCAGGGTGGAGGCGTTCAGCACACGTGAGAGCTCGGCAGGCAGCCGACGGCCGTTGAGAGTCCAATAGAGACCTTCGGCGGTGGCCCCAGACAGGTCCCCATGCACTGAGCACATGGCTTGCAGGGAGGAACCAATGAGGAGTGTGGGGTCCTGGGGTGTGATCACGGCCAAGTCTGGGATCAAAGAAGACAGCCCCCGTTACACCTCGGGTGGGATCCCCCTGAGCCTCTGCCATGCCCAGCACCTCCACACATTTGTTTTGCTACTCCAGGGTCTCGCACCAGGGGTGCTTCGATGGGAGAAGAGTGCAGGGTCTGCTGGACAGAGGACACAGGGCACCACAGTCTACCCCTGCAGTCCTAAATACAGGGTAAGGCTGCCTGCATCTCCTTGCCAAATCCTGCCTATCCCGTGGGGGGGAAAAGCTGACCCTTGGAAAGCCCAGATGTTCCTGCTCCTAATAATCTACCCTACACGGCCACCCAGCCCAGAGGCGGCTGTGCCAGCTATAGGCCCCCCAGTCCCCTCCAAAGGGACTTGGTGTTCGTTAAGTCCCTCAGCTGTTTTCTTGGTAACATTTTATCTCTCTGGCCAGGTGTGGTGCACGCCTGTCATCCCAGCACTCTGGAGGCTGAGGCAGGAGGACCACTGTGGAAAGTTGAGACCAGCCTGGGCTACACAGGGAGTTCGAGGCGAGGCCAGCCTGAACTACATAGCAAGACCTCATCTAAAAAAAATAAATAAATAAAAATAATCAAAAAGCAAAAAAGAAAGAAGGGCCTCTCTGTCTTTTGTTGGGGCAACTGTGACAGTCTCTGGAAGGGACTTTGTGAATTGGATTTGTGTGCAGGGCCCAGGAGTCTCGGGAGTGTGCAGCTCTCCTCTCCTGCCAGCTATCAAGGAGACTAGGACCTAAAACGGCTGTTTTACCCTGGGGGAAACTGAGCCCCAGAGGATGGGGAGGCGGGCACTCTCTGGGCCAGTGACATCACTGTCTGTTTGGCTGTTGGGGAAGCGAGCACCCTGGTATCAGCCACTGGATTGTCTAGGGACCCCGTCAGAGTCCACATACATGTACATTCAGCTGGTTGGAATCCGAATGCCCCAGCTTGCTGAGGAAGCCTGACTTGGTGACTTTTCCCTCTGAGCCTCCGGGAAGCACTTTTCCCTTCACCAAAGAAAGGCTGTGAGGACCATTCGCCCATTCATTCACCCATTCATCCATTCACAGATTACCAAGGCGTGCAAAGGGCACAGAAGGAAAACAGAATAGAGAAAAGGAGCAGAGTTGAGCAGAGGCCAAAGACAGCTCAGCTAGACTGGGAAATGAGCTGAGACCTGAATTAAGCAAGAGACAGAGCTATGAAAAGATCCGAGAGACAGCAGTTCAGGTAGCAAGAACTGTACGTGGAAAGGCATATAGGAAATGAGGTTTGGGGCGGACAGCAGGGCCCCCAGCCTGCAGAGGAGTTTTTCAGGGGTCCTGAGCAGGGGGGAAGGTCCTGTTTAGTTTACAAAGAATAGCCCAGGCAGCTGTGAGAAGAGACTACAGGGACAAGGAGCAGGATGGGGGTCCAGCCCCCCGAAGTTTAAATGTTAGGAGCCACCCTGCACTGCTCCTCATTGCCCCAGATGGCCAAGGTAGGAAGGGCTCAGTCCCAGGCCAACCCTGACGGTTCTCCGGGGCAAACTTGGCTGAGCGTGGCTGGGATCGCAGTTGCGTTTTGGGGCTTGGCCCAAGGCTCACTGGAGGTCTCAGCATCCGTGCAAAGGAGCCGGTGGTGTGGGCCAGCCGAGGGGGGGGGGTGCGTGTGGGGCCAGGGGGCCGCCCCAGAGGTCCCAGGCAGCCAGCCGCCTGCTAATTCTAATTCGGAATTCCTCTAGCTTGAACTCGGGCGTGCCAGCGCCTCTGCCACGGCCCACCCACCGCTTCCTGTCTGGGTCCCCCCAGCAGGGTGGGAGGCACGGCTGGGCTGGACCCCAGGCCCAGTCTCAGCCCTCCCAGGGCGGGTCATGCCCCTCCTGCCCCCCACCTCCAGCCAGATCTGGCCAGAAAGAGCTCTCTGGGGAGTCTTGGCTGGGGGCACTGCCCCCCTGCCACATCCCCCTGGCCTGGCCTAGTCTGGCCAGTTTGCCAGCAGCTGCAGCTGCCATCCAGGGTTTGGATGGGGACAAGGGAGCTGGAGGGGACAAGGCCGAGCAGGCCTAGATAGGCCAGTCCCCAGTCCCTCTGCTTAGCAGGAAAGGTCAGAGGGACTCTTTCTCCTCTGGGGACAAAGGCCTGACCTTTGGTATGGCCACCGGCTCTTCAGTCTGAACTCCAGGTTTTCGCATCTGCAAGGAGGGAGGACTGCATGCTGCCTGCCAGAGGGTTGGCAAGAGGAGCACACTGTGTGGAGACCCCACACCCTGCAGCATTCCGGGGCCACCGGTCTGAGGCCTGCCCCCTCCCCACTCTTTCCAGGTTCTTGCCAGCCATGGACCGGGCGCTAGGGACTGGGTCACACACATCCCCAGCCAGGCAGGAGACCAACAGCTGGGAACAAGCCACTGAGCCCAGAGGGGAGCCTGGCCTGTTTGGAGGGGCTCCTAGAATTCACCCCAAAGTGAATCCCTAGGCTGGGCTTTGCTCCCCTCTGCGGCCTACCGCCCCTCCTCTCCCAGAGAGCTGGGGCCTTTACAAGTTTTTTTTTTTTCCTTTCCCTTTCCCAATCTGGAGCCACTGCTGTTATTAAAAAGGAACACCATGTGTTTTAAAAGGGAAAAGTGTGAGATTCTCTGGAAGCCTAGCAGGAGGGCAGCCTCAATTCCAGGGTCCCCTGGGGGTTCCCACCTCACTTTCCACAGGTACCTGCAGACACTTTACGACCCTGCTGGCCGGTCAGGTGCTGAGACACACCATAAGTAGAAACATATTGTTGAGGTGTGAGAATTTTTTATTTAATTTCTTCTCCCATAAAGGAAAAAAACACATGCACGACCCCCGCCCCCACCCACTACTTTGGCCTATTCCTCTGTGGCTTGGAAACAAAGCTCCAAGCCACCCAACGCCTGGCAGAGTCAGTAGGGACCCCAGGAAGCCCTGGGGAGCCTCTCACCTGTGCAGGCAGCTCAGGGCAACTTGTGCCCCAGGGGTGCCCTGGCCCTGCCCTTTCCAGAATGACACCCCAGAACATACACTGCCCGAATGCAATTCAAGCTCACCGCAAACGTCCCCTGCCGCGGAGCCTGCGCGAGCCCCTCTGCTGGCTCCCCGTGGAATTCGAGGAAGACCACGAGTGTGTGCGCCGGGGTGGAATGTGTACGCGCCGCGATGGTGTGCGAACGCGCATCTGGGATGCAGTGTGTGTGAGCGGCTGCGGGCGAGGGTGACGGGACCTGAGCCAGTGTGTGTCTTTGTGTGTCTCTGGGTGTGTCTTTAAGCTGGTCTGGATGCGGAGACCGTATCCTGGCGGGGGTGTGCATTGGGGGAGCCGGAATGCGGGAGGCCAGGGGCGCCCCGCGGGGAGGGGCCTTGAGCCTTCGGGTTCCCAGGGGGCCTCACCGAAAGCCCGGGCCCGCAATGCCCGGGCTTGGGCCCTTGCTGCCTCTCACTCTCACCCACCCACTCACAAAGACTCAACGCCAGAGGCTCGCAGCCCGTGCAGCCTGGATGAGGACAACTCTGAACGCCAGTGGTGACGGGGACTTCGCGGATCCCCGTGCGCTGAGTCCTGCGCATACAGGGAGGGAGGGCGGCGGCAGGCCGCCGAGAGGCACATCCCCAGGGACCCTGGGCTGCGCGCCAGGCGGCCAGAGCCGGGGGCCCCCTCTCGCCCTCCCTCCCCTTGGGGCTCATCCCTTGCCCAGGGGGACGCTCCCCGCCCGCACCCAGCGTGCCACTGCGTGCGCCCCAGCCTGCCCAGGAGCGGTGATCCGTGGTCACGGACGCTCACAGCGCCCGTGGCACCCCAAGGCGCGCAAAGGGTCCCGGACCACCGCCCCCACTCCTGGGGGCTTGGCTGAGTGCCCCGGCTCGGGCGGCCCAGGTGAGGAGGCCTTGGCGAGAAAGTGGCTTGGGCCAGAGGTCACAGCCATGTGCGCCCCGCAGGTGAGGGCGCCCCGAAGACCCCGCCGGGGGCGCCTTCCTTTGTTCCCGGACCTTCCAGGTGGCGCCCGCGCCCCCTCCCCCCGGCTACCCCCAGGCGCCGGCCCTGGGCGGCGGAGGGATGAGGAGCAGGACGCGGGGTACTCACGGGCTCCCGATCCGGCTCGCAGTGCTCCGAGGACGCAAAGCAATAGCAGGGACAGCGACGGCGACCGCGGCGCGGATTGGGCGCCTGGACGCGGGCGGGCGGCGGGCATTGGGTCGGCGCTGCCGGGGACGCACGGGAAACAGCGGCGGGGGCGAGGGGGTGCGGAGGGCGCGGACCGGGCCGCCCGCACGTCGCTGGGCGCGGACGCAAAGGCAGCAGCAAGTCTGAGCAGCGGAATTGACAAGGCGCTAATGTGCGGCTGGCCCCGCCCGGCCCCGCCCCCGGCGCGGCCCGGCCCCGAGGGGGCGGCGGGCCCCGCACCGTCCTCCCCGCCATCCACCCGCCCGCCAGCTCGCGGGCACCGCGCGCTCCGCCCGGCCTGCCTCCACCCCACCGCGAGCCGCGCGCGGGTCCCGCGCCCAGGGCCCCATCTCCTTCCCCACGGCCCGGGACTTTTCTCCCCAGCCCCTCCGGAGCCAGGCTCCCCACCTCCAGCGGGGGTCCCGGGCCCTTCCCCCAGCTCCCTCCCAGTGCCCGTGCCCACAGCTCCGCACTCCTGGCTCAACCCAGCGGCCCTTCCGGCCCCCCAGCGACCCTGGGCCCTGCCCTGCTCCTCCCGGATCCTCCCGCCCATCTCGCCGCTGGGCCCCCACCCAGCTGGGCCCCGCCTCCCACGGATCTCCCGAGCCCCGCCCTCCGCAGCCCCTCTTCCTCCCCAAGGACCGGGAAGTCACCCCCAGCCCCGGTCCCCTCGCCCGGGTGCCACCGGCCTGGTCCCCCCTTCCACTTCATCCCTCCTCTCTCCCGTCCTCCTCGCGAAGCCTCCCGGGCCCGGGGCTCTACAGGAGTAAAGAAGGAAAAGCAGGAAGGCGCGGAGCCCCAGCGCACTGCCCCCCGCGCACCGAGTGGGTCGGAGGGGCTTGGGGGTGTCTCGGAACCTGAAATGCAGCCCCCGAGTGGGCACACGGGGAATCGTAGGCCCCCGGGCGAGGCCGCACTGGGGGTGACAGGGATTCCCCAGGAGGAGCGTGGCGAGGACTGCTCCCCGGACGCACTCCCCCCCCACGGAAAAATCCACTCAGCGGCCCGCGGGTGGGGTGCGCCACGCGGTGAGTAATCGCTCCCGCGGCCGCCGCCCGCCCGCTCCAGGTAACGCGGCCGCCCGGAGCGACGCATAGTTTATCTTCTTTCTTTTGCGCAAAGATCTTTCTCCTTGTTATTATTTTTGGCCACTGCTCTGATTTTGGGACCCCTCCCGGCCTGGCGTTTCATCCCTCTCCTTCCGTCCCCACCCAACCGGGGCTTGCAGGAAAACGGGTTTCTGGTCTCCGAAGCCACTGGAGGGGGTGTCTCAAATGCAAGTTCCTGGGGGTCGCAGCTTCCCAGGTTGTGTGGCAACCCTTACCCCCAAATCCCCAGAACATCAAAGTCTCCAACTGTCCCTTCCCTGCAAGGTCTGGACCTTCCTCAATGTCCCCAGCCAGCGAGGGAATCAAAGGGCCCCAGGAGGGGCTAGGGGTCTCCCATCTTTGTCTGTACAAGGCTGCCCCTTCTGGGGTCCCCAGCCCAGGCTCCAGAATGTCAAAGAAAACCGACGGCTGGGGACTTGGCGCAGGGCACCCCATCTGGACCCTGGATGGAGAGGAGGATGTAAAAGCCAGCAGGCCTTCTGCTGGGACAACCCAGGCCTCTGGGGCTCAGTATCTCTCTGCACAAGGCCAGGCACCTAAAGGTCTCCTCCGGAGGATGGAGCATGATGGAAGTGCCCCCGGATCAAAACTCTCAGCATGGCACAGCACCGCCTCTAGGGGCAGAGGTGGCCCAGGCCTGTTTGTGCCTCTTCCACAGTGTGGTGGTCTTACCTGCCAGGTGGTGCAAGGGCTGAGTGGAGGCCGCAGGGCTGGGCTGAATTTAGAGTTCTGCCCCCCCTCCCCCATTGCCCTTGGCTCACACATGCACCCGAGGGGGGGGGGGTCTGGCCTCCTCCTGAGGGGATCTCAGGGTTCTCGAGCTGAAATCCCTCATTTCCCTCTCTGGGCCCTGCTCCTCCCCCATGCAGCCAGGTGCTCGGCCGGAGACCTGGAAGCCTGCGTGACGGCGCTCTCCTGCACGCTTCCCACACGGCCAATCCATCAGCAAATCCTGTTGGCTCTGGTTCCAAAACACATCCCTATCACGAGACTCTGACCCCCTCTCCCCACCCTGTCCCGGTCCAGGCCCCCTCAGTGTCACTCAGGGACGCTGCAGCCCGGCCTCCAGTGGGGCTTCTCCCCCTAACCTTGTGGCCTTTGTCTGGATGGCAACCGTGGGTTGCCTGGCCTCTGTGCCCTGCCATCTTCTTCCCATCCTCTCTCCTCCCCTTGCTCCCCGAGTGTTTCGGGCTCATCACCAGCACAGACCCTTTCTCCACAGCTCTTTCTGGGGCTGGGGTGCTGCTCCCCGACTGTTCCTACGTAGTCAATTCTCTTGGGGGCCTCAGGTCCTCGGAGAGGCCCCACCCTCACCAGCACACTGCACCTCCACTTGGTTTATTGTCTCTGGAACCTCGATGTGCAGACCGCTGCTGTCCCCCTCCTGTGTCTTCCTTCAGTACCCTGAAACCCCCTAGCTGGAAGCCAGCGCCAGGTCCAGGAACAGCGAAGAGGAGGAGCTCAGTAAATATTTGCACAGTGAGAAGATGTTGGAGAATTCTTAGCCCCTCCAAGTATCAAGAAACAGTCCCAGCCAGCTTGGGGTCGCAGACCGGCATATACTCCGAGTTGCGATGTCCAAAGAAGGGCATGGACCATTTCCCAGTCCTGCCTGAGCATGACCCCTGGCCTCTGGGTGACCTTTGACTTTAGGGAAAATGACTTGACCTCTAGTGCACCCTTTTCTACTCTTGTCCCCCCACCCCCAATCTCTGCTGGGAGAGGCCCCTGGTCAATATTGACTAAAGCCCTTAAAGGCGGTGGGGAATGTGCTCAGGGGATGGAGGGGGGGCTCTTCCGTAACCCATAGAGGCCAAGGGCCCTGCAGTCCCAGAGGAGTCACTGGTGGTTCACTGGAAGCAGCACCCAGGGGTCCATTTTGAGCCACCCCACCCCCCTGCAGTTTGGAAAGCGCTGCTTGGCTAGGGCACCTTTGCTTTAGGAATCAGGGAGAGGTAGAGGGAGGCTGGGGAATGGTGTGTGCCCAGGGCTTAGCTCCTGCACCCCAGAAGCTGATTGGGGGGTGGGCTGATGCTTGGGTATCCAAGCTCAGGGTGCTTGGATACTAGGCCCTGGAAGTGGCCCCGGGACATCTCAGAGTTGAACTAAGGTCCTTTTCTGGGTTGCTGTGCAACCCTACAGCGGATGCCTGCGTTTCCTGTCCCTCTGTACCCCAAAGAAACTTAAAGTCTAGGGGAGAGTCGCACCCCTCTTTTCTGTACTTCTCCCGAGCCGAGCCGAGCCGAGGGTGCCAGCCTGCCGCAAGGCGCCACTGTGCCTTGCCTCCTCCCTAACCCGGACCCAGCTTGGGCACCAGGGTCATAGGGGTCTCGGGAGGGCGGCAAGGGACAAAGGGCGCTTGTCTGCTGCCCGCCCTGACCTCCTGGGCCGCCGCTGATTCACGCTCCGCGGGGCCGCATCGCCCCCCCCAGCCGCCGCCCCCGCCGGGCGCCCCGGGGGGTAGGAAGTGGGGGGACGAGGGGCGGCGCCGAGTCAACTTTCCCTCTTAAGCCCCGGAGGAATGTCGGCGGATTTCCTGAAACCCGACCCGGCCGCCCGCCGGCTGCCCGCCCCTCACCTGGACCGGCTCCCCGGGGACGGCGGCGCGGGCTCACCTGGGGGCCGGGTCGAGGTCTCTTCCGCTGCCTGCGCGGGGGAGGGGGGGACGCCCAGCAGTCTCCCTCCTCCCCTCGGGCGCCCCGGGCCACCGGCCCAGCCTTAGTTTCCTCTCGGGCCGAAGGGCACCGGGGTGGCTCTCCTTGGATCTTGCGTCCTCAGCGACACTTACCTTGCCTTTGCGAGCCTCTCTGTCCTCCTGTCGCTGGTCACCCAGGCCGAGCCCCTTGGCCGAGCTGGGCCCCGATTGCCTTATTTGGGACTACAGCGATGCTACCAGATTTGTGCCCTGGAGCGGCTGCGGGAGCCCCTTGTCTGCAGTGCGCGAAGAACGGTCATTGTGGAGAGGCCGCGCCGAGGACCCAAGCTGGCATGTGTGGGCTTGACGCCCGCTCTGCCCCGGCGTCGGGAAGCCGGGGTTTCCCCACGTGCCATAACGGACCATGCGGGGCACAACCTGCAGGGAGGTCCCCAAGGCTGGGTCGCGGGGGTCCCGGCTGCGCGGGAGGCCCTGGCCGGGCGGGGCGGGGGAGGGGCGCGCCGGGATCCAGATGTTCGGGGTCCGCCAGGCACAGCCGCGCCTGATTAAGCCACATGGGGGCCGCCGGGCTGCGAGATGAAAGCGAGGGGCCGCTGAGAAGGGGCGCCACCCCTCCTCCCCGGCCGGAACCTGTGGCGCCCTCTGACCCGGCGACCCTTCGAGGCTGCCGCCGTCTGCAGGGCCGGGGCCGGGAACGGACGTGCGCCCTTCCCAAAGCACCTGCGCCGGGGCTGGGACATCTGTGCGGAGGGCCGGGACTCGGGGGTGTCCCTAGGTCCACGCTGGAAGGAGCAGAAGCCAAAGGGGTCCTCGTCTGAGGTCGTGAAGCCACAGGGTCATTACAGGATGCTCTCGACGCAAGCCACAAGTGTGTCAGTTTCCCCACGGGAATTAGGGGTTTTGCCAGCCCTCGGCGAGGGGGACAAGGGCCTGACTCCCCCAGGCTCCAACTTCTGGCCTGAGCCGAGGAGGCCACGCTGGTGGCGCGGGGACAGAAGAGGGGACAGCACAGGTCACTACCCCTGGCCCGTTTGCCCAGGGAGAAAGAACCGGGCCCGTGGGCTTGGGCGCCCTGAGCTCTTCCCCGCACCCTCCACCTGGGTGTCAGCCTCCCGCCCGCTCTGCCCTCCCCTCTGGGTCCTGGCTTGGCCCGCGTGGGACCCCAGCCCCTCCCCTGGTCCCCGGGTCCTGGCGCCCCCGACGCCCTGGGTCCAGCGCACACCCTGTCCTCTTTTGGCTCCGAGTGCAGGGGCGATGCTCGATCCTGGGGGTCCAGGAAGGTGCCGGGGGACCCCGGGCCTGGCTCGGGCTCCGGCCGGGGGCTGGATCCACCTGCCCGCCCACCCCGAGGTGCCGCCCATCCCCGCCCCCCCTTCCCAGGCTGCCTCGCTCGCTGACGTCAGCGCCGGCCCCGCAGCCCGTGCCCCGCGCCCCGCACCGCCGGCCATGGCTGCCGCCGCGCTGATGTCGCCGGCGCCGCCGCTGCTGCTGCTGCTACTGCTGGGGTCTCCGCCCGCCGCCCCCGCGCCGCCGGCCCGGGACCCTTTTGCGCCACAGCTCGGGGACACCCAGAGCTGCCAGCAGCGCTGTCGCGAGCGCAACCCGGGACTGTGGCTCTCGCAGGTGACGCGCGGGGCTTGGGAGTCCCAGGTTGGGGGGGGTGTGAATCCTAGTTGGGGGAGGGGATGCGGGACCCGGCTACTGCACCACGCCGAGGTCCAGCGGTGGGGAGGGGCCGAGGGCATTCATGGGGGAGGGGGTGACCATCTCCAGGGCGAGGCTTGGGGCTCCCAGGTGGGAGGACTTGGGGATGCAGATCCCACCTCGGGAGCTCGACTTGGGGGATCCTTCTAAGCCGGAGGGGCCGAGGCTCCCAGTGCCACCTCTGTCCCCCCTCCTCCCCGTGCTGCGCAAGGGCCGCTGGGTGCCCAAGGCCCACCTTTTTCGTCCTGTGTATCCTTCTCCCCATACAGCTATCAGCCCCCCAAGCCATTGATCACCCCCAAAGCCAGTTCCAGAGGCAAACCCCCTCAGGCCTGAGAATACCCCCAGGCCCCTCCGCCCGGGAGCCCTTGAGGAGGTCCATTCATTCCCAAGGTCCCTCGTCTTCCTTCTTAGCGCTTAGAGCTCCCCAATATTCTTAGCTTTCTTCAGCGTCACCCCAATCTCCTTAGATTCGAAGGACCAAACCCTCCCCTCCCCTAGTGCTTTCTGTCCCTCCCGCCCCACTCCCTGCTGAGCCCCGTGTGCCCCCAGGCAGGGCCAGAGGTCCCCTCCTCGGAGTCCCCATATGACAGAGCCATCCGGATCAGCGCTTGTGAGAGGGGCTGCCGGCTCTTCTCCATTTGCCGCTTCGTGGCCAAGAGCTCCAGGCCCAATGCCACCCGCACCGAATGCGAAGCAGGTGAGGCCCAGGGCAGGCAGGTGCTCAGGGTGGGGGATGGGCCGCCCCAGTCGCCTCACTCCGCTCCCCCCCCCGCCCTGCTTCTCCCCCCTCCCCCGCAGCGTGCGTGGAAGCCTATGTGAAGGACACTGAGCAGCGAGCCTGCTGCGAGGGCTGCTGGATCCAGGCCCCCCGGCCAGAGCTGGAGTCCCAGCTGGAAAAGGTGGATGCCTGCTCCCCAGTCTTGGGCAACCCTAATACCACCACCCCCAGCCTCTGCATTCCATCCAAGCCTGCTTAGGTGGCCCCAGCCAAGCCCTGTCAATTCCAGGCCCAGTGATCACCTCTGTGGTGTGGGACCTACCACCTGTCACCCTGTCTCCTACATTTTCAGGAGTAAGCGGCAGTGAACACAGTCACCACTCATTTATCAAACACTCACCCTCAGTCAGCTCTGACCCTAGCCTGTCCCAAATTCCTGCTGCCACCTGGAGACTCCAGGCATGCCGGCCTTATCATCCAGTGACCCAAGGGACAACTGGTCAGGTCCTGCAGTCAAGGCTGAGACTTGGCGAGCTGGAGGCCACCAAACCTGGTGGCTGCTGGATTGTGGTCTGAGCTGAGGTTAAGGGCAGGGCTCCCCCAAGGACGGAGGCCTGGGGTAGAAATGACCATTGCTTGCCTGCGTCCAGGGGTAACTGAGACAAGAGAGTATGCAGCATAGCCAGAGACCCATGGCCCAGGGCTCCCCAAAAGCCCTTTCCCCACCCCACTCCAGGCTTTTGCAAGTTTAGAGAAGCTCAGAGCTCTCTCTGCGTCACCTCTGCCCCTTGGGATGAGGCCGATGTGGAGGATGGGTTCGAGGTCCTCTGGGCTGCTGGTCATTTGGAATCTGTGCCATGCCAGGGACTGGGCGGACAGCATCAAAATCTTACAGTTGCCCCCTGAGGGAAGAGGATCACCACTCCCTGTTTTAGGGCCCAGAGAGGGGAGTGAATTTCCCCAGGACCATGCAGCAAGCCAAATGCAATGTGGAAGTCAGGGTCCAAACCGAATCACTCAGCCAGATCCAAGCTGTGCCACTCACAGTGCTCTACTCTGTCACCATTTTTGGGCCTTGGGCCTCCCCTCTCTAGAGAAAGGTCCTGGAAGCTCCTGGTGGGGCCCTGTCCCTCCTGGACTTATTTTCCACTCTGTGCAATGACCTCGTCAACTCAGCCCAGGGCTTTGTCTCCTCCACCTGGACATACTACTTACAGACCGACAATGGGAAGGTGGTGGTTTTCCAGGTAAGAAGACTGCTGGGGGCCACCCGCAGAGTAAGAGGGGATGCAAAGTCTATGGGGATCAGCTTCAGGCTCAGCTGGATCCAGGGGCTCGGTGTCTTACTCTATGCCTCAAGCCTGCTTTCCTCTGTAGTAGCTTCCCTACTGGGCATGTTCTTCCCTCCAGGGAGCAGAGTACATCCCGGGGGTTCTATGTTACAACTCCTTGGGGATTCTGGAGTGGTTTTTCACTTGTATAGGAAGGATATTGGGGTTGGAACCCAGGGCCTCAGCACTGAGCTACATCCCAGCACTTTTCTAGTGTTTGTTTTGAGACACAGTCTGAGTCCCTAAGTTTGCCTGGGCTGGGCTTGACCTTGCCATCCCCCTGCCTCCGCCTCTGAGTGCTGGGATTACAGATGTAGACCACACGCCCAGTCCTCACTGAGCTGCTGTTGGCCCTGGCTGAGTCCTGGGACATCCCTCAATAGCTCACTGAAATTCTGCTCTATTCACCTGGAGCACCTTTTCCTTTGGAAGCCAGAGAATAGGGTTTAGGCAAACAAGGCCCCACAAGAGCAGAGAATGTCCTTGATGTCCCAGCCCATGGGCCATGGTGTCCTCCCTGCCTGCCCCTAGTGGACCTAGGTGCCAGCAGGGGACATTGCCTGCCAGGGCTCAGGATGCCTCTAACAGCCCCACTGTGCTATCTGCTCCGGTCCAGACCCAGCCTGTGGTCGAGAGCCTGGGTTTCCAGGGCGGCCACCTGCAGCGAGTGGAGGTAACCTGGAGGGGCTCACATCCCGAGGCCCTGGAGGTGCATGTGGGTAAGGGGCAGTGCACTGTCACTGGCATATTCCTAGCAAATGGTCCCCACAGGATGGGGATCTCCTTCCTCAATTTTGGGATCCCATGGTCCATTTCCTAGGGGCCCATGGACCATCTCCTGGGGTTCCATGGTCAATCTCCCAGGGTTCCATGGTCTACCTCCAGGATTCCACAGTTTATCTTCAGGGTTCTATAGTCCATTAGTCCATCTCCCAGGGTTCCTTGGTCCATCTCCCAGGGTTCCTTGGTCCAGCTCCCAGGGTTCCTTGGTCCATTTTTCAGGACTCCATGGTCTATCTCCCAGATTGCATGCTCTATCTCCAGGTCTACATGTTCTGTCTCCTAGGGTCCAGCACTCCAACCCCCAGTGCCCTGTGGCCCATCTCCTAGGGGTCCATGCTCCATCCTATCTATTCCTGAGCCCCAGGTCCTTGCCTCCTTTCCTCCCGCCAGTAGCTCCATGCTTCTTGTGGCCCCATGGCAGCCCCCAGAGGCTGCCGAGCCACGGCCCCTCTCTTAGACCCCGTAGGCCCCTTGGACAAGGTGCACAAGGCCAAGATCCGCGTGAAGACCAGCAGCAAGGCCAAGGTGGAGCTGGAGGAGCAGCAGGACAGTGACTTCCTCAGCTGCATGGCCCGGTGGGTGGTGGCCCAGGGCGGGCGGGCTGGGCTGCTGTTCTGGCCGGGGTGGGCACTGAGCCTTGCTGGTCCACAGGCGCTCTGGGCTGCCCCGCTGGCTGCTGGCCTCCTGCCTCTGCCTCTCTGTGCTGGTCATGCTATGGCTGAGCTGCTCCACGCTGGTGGCTGCACCAGGCCAGAACCTCAAGTTCCAGGTAGGAGAGCCCCATGGGGACTTGGGGTAGTGGGGGATCTGAAAGAGCCAGGGACTGAGCACCTTGGGCCCCTGCAGCCCCTGACCCTGGAGCAGCACAAGGGCTTCATGGTGGAGCCGGACTGGCCCCTGTACCCGCCTCCGTCGCACACCTACGAGGACAGCCCCCCGCCCTACAAGCTCAAGCTGGACCTGACCAAGCTGTAGCCCCAAGTCCCAGGTCGGGGGCCATGGTCCCGCCCCACCCCTCAGCCCTCCGTGTCCCTGTCCCATCTGCACTCCTCACAGGGGGGCGGCTGGGGGCTGGCCGGGGTTCTCCTGTCCTGTCCCTCATCCTTGAGGCTGTGCTGCTTTCTGTCATTGCTCTTGTGGCTTTGGGGGTGTGTGAACCCCACCTGCGTGCTGCCTGCCTTCTTTTTCTAGCCGCTCTCAGGGGCTGGGGCACAGCGGAGGGACTCCCTCCGCCGCTTCTGTTTCCTGTTGTCCTCCAGGGGCAGGGACCTGGGGACACCGATGGCGGGAGGGCCAGGGGCTGAGCTGGGGAAAATAAACCCTGAACCTAAAGGACATTCTGGCTGTGCCTCATCTGTCTGATGCTCTCTCTGCCCAGGGAGTGGCCTTCTCCGTCTGTGATAGGGGTCACCGTGGAAGTCCGTGGAAGTCACTGCCTGCAGAAGGCATAGACCTTCTGCGAGAGAAAGTATGGGCAGCTGACAGGGAGAGATGGGGTAAGGGACGTGGTGCTGGGGTCTCAGGTCTGGGGCTGTGGGGAGGGATGTGGTGTCCTGTCCTCTCCTGCCTGAAGGACACCAGTGGGACCGGGTGACCGAAGGGCTGCCCCAGGCCCTGGGGCTCCTCCAGCTCCCTCAGTCGGAAGCCTCGCCCTTCAAGCCCCCTTTGCCCCTGGGGCTGCTCAAGCCAGGAATGCCCAGCGGTCAGTGAGTGTCAAAAATGACTCCAGCCACCAGAGCCAGAAGGGGTTTACTGTAGGATCACAGATTGTCTGCGGTGCCAGGGGGCCACCCATAACCTCTTTCTAGGCAGTCTACTGAGCCACACCCCCAGCCCTTCATGTTCTGTTGTACTCTTAATTTTGTGACAGGCTCTGAGTCGCCTGCATTGGTTTTAAGTTTAAATCCCCCTGCCTCAGCCTCCCAAGTGCTGGGATCACAGTTGTGCATCACCAGCGCATTCAGCCATTTGTATTTCATGGTAGTTCATCTGTTGCATCTATTTAAAGCACTACTGCCAGATGCCACGGTGCATGCCTGCTATTCCAACTAGCTGGAAGGCTGAGGTAGGAGGACCTCCAGCTCAAGGCCAATCTGGCATTTAGGGGGACCATGTCAACAAAAAGGGCTTGGGTGCAGCTCAGTGGAAGAGCACCCAGGGGTTCCATCCCTACCACCAATTATAAGAGACCAGCCCAGTGCTGAGGAGACCATTGTCCTTCCCTGGTTTGCCTGCCCGGCCCTCGCCTGCATGTCAGTTGCTCTGGACCCTCAAGCGCCCATTTTAATTCTCACTGATTGTCACCTCCCGAGATGTCTCATCCACTCAGCCCAGACAGCCTCCCGCCCACACCAGCCTCCTCATTTCCACTTCCACACTGAGGTGCCTGCACCTCCACTCCAGGTTCTCTGTGCATCCCCCGCCCCCACCAGATCCATCTGATATAAAACAGCTCCCACTGCAGATGTGGAAGCTCGGGCATCCAAATGGGCTGGCGGGGCCCCAGCTGTCCAGCCCCGTGGTTATCTCTAACTGCTTCAACGGGGGCCCTGTCACTGTGACCCAGCCACATGCCGCTGTCTGTGACCTTAGGGCCTTTGCACTTGTACCTCTCTGCCAAGGTCACACCCAAAAGGGCTCCCATGATGCCACACGGCCTCTCAGGTGCTCAAATCTCTGTCCATCTTCTCCGTTCTTGCCACATTCATATTTGGGTCACAATGATTTGTTTCAACATTGGCCTTTTTTAAAAAGAAAAAAATCTATCTATCTATCTATCTATGAGTGATACTGGAGATGGAATCCAGGGCTTTACGGTGTGCTACGCTCCCCAGCCCCTTTCATTCTTTTTCATTTTTATCGGTACCGGGGATCGAACTCACGACCGCCTGCTAGCAAGGCAGGTACTTATGCCGCTGAGCTAAATCCCCAGCCCCCGCCCCTTTCATTCTTTAATGTGAGACAGAGTTTCTCACTAGGATTCCATGCTGGGTTTAAACTTGCAGTCCTCCTGCCTCAGCCTCCTGAGTAGCTGGTATTACAGATGTATACTACCATACCTGGCTGATTTTTTTTTTTTTTTTTTTTTTTTTTTTTTTGAGACAAGGTTTTTCTGTGTAGTCTGGGCTGGCCTTCAACTCTCTATGTACACCTCAGGCTGGCCTGGAATTGATGATCCTCCAGCCTCAGCCTCCTACATGCTGGGATTATAGGTGTGTACCACCATGTCAGGCTTGCAAGGGCATTTTTTACCTGTCAGTTTGGTACTATGTGCCTAAAGCATTGATTCTTTTGCTTTGTCTTGTTTGAGATGGCTTGGTATATAGACAGGCTGGCTCACCCTCACAGAGGTCCTCCTGCCTTGGCCTCCCAGACGTGCCTGGCTCAGAGATGACAGCCTGGGCACACTGCAGACACAGGGCTGGCTCTGTCATGACCTCGGTACCCACAAACGCAGGATCTCTGGGCCTCTGCCCACTCCTGCATCTTCCGCTCACATCCCACGCGGACCAGGCGATGGTGGTGGCTGGCTGGCTGGTGTCATGGCAACCGGCAGGCGCACCCATGTGTCCAGCAGCACAGGGTTGCCAAGACAACAGGCCATCCTGGTGGGGGCGGAAACCACTCTGGAGAGGAGGGAAATGCAGGGGACATTGAAAACGCTCTCAGGGGGAGGACAGGAATGGGGTTCGGGCAAGCCCCCTCCTGGGGCTGCCCATGTCCCTGCTCCAGTTCTCCCCTCCCCAGGGTGTCCACAAGGGCAGCTCCTGGTGGCTGTTTCCTGCCTGTTCTTCCTGCTGTATCTCTGTCACCTCACAGCTCAACCCAGGCCCCCTGAGTCACAATGACCCCACTGAAGCGTTTATCATGTTGACAATTAAGTGGTTGCTTCTTTGCTTGTGTGATGATTGGTTTAATAAATGGCCCCTCTGCCAGATGTGACACTCTAGGCGTCTCAGTCACAGCTGCATCCCACACACTGCGGAGGCTGCTCCCAATACATCTTTGTCAACACTCTTCCTTCTTGCTGTCTGGCCTGTTTTTCCAGAGCCAGGGCAGCTTCATCTCTGTCCCTTGAGCCTCTGGCACTGGGCTAGGGCCTTCCACATTATGGCCACTTGGAATATTCTGGAACTTTCCACAGTGTTCTGGAAAGCTCTGGAATGTTCTAGAACATCCTTCTGCTTTTACTGCATCAAGTCATCACCTCAGGGAAGTTCTCCTTAATCTTCTCACTAAATTAATCACCCTCCTTCCTACTTCTCAGCCTACTTTCATGGCAATCACTGCCAAATGGAAAATCTTTGGTCATTCATCAGTGTATGGATCTCAGATGTAGCTTTCCCATTAGAATATACATTACAGAATACTCTGGAACATGAAAGGTGCTTGTCTGGCATGACCCTTAGCAGGAAAGTCACACTTCAATAGTAGCCCTAGCTCTGCCCTCTACCAAGTTGAGTCCTGATTGATTGATCTGATTTTTTTTTTTTTTTTGGTCTTTTTCGTCTTTATCAGTAGCAGGGATTGAACTCATGACTGCCTGCTTGCAAGGCAGGCGCTTATGCCGCTGAGCTAAATCTCAAGCCCCAATCTGATTTTTTTATGGTACTGGAAATGGAACACAGGTCCCTGTGCATATAAGGGGAGGGCTCAACCACTGAGCCACATCCCCAGCTCCTGCTTTTCTCTCCAAGACAGGATCTTGCTGTGTGGCTCCCTGTGTAGTAGTTCAATTTGGCTTCAAACTCGCAGCAATCTTCCTGTCTCAGCCTCCCAAGTGCTGCCCGGCCTCCAACCCATTTTTTATTTTGAAACAGGATCTCACTAAATTGCTGAGCTGTGCAGGCTGGGCTGGTACTTGCAATTCTCCCTCCTCAGCCTCGCAGAGTACTGGGAAGCCTGGCATGCCCCACCACTCTTGGCTCCTTTAGTTTTCACCATGGGGGGGATGGAACCTGGGCCCCGAGTGTGCTGGGAGCAGAGTGTGCTGGGAGCGCTATGTCGTGAAGCCCCAACTGGGGGCCTCCCACAGATGTCCTGTCACCAAATACAGACTGCACTGCACGGTGTTCTTCAGGGACACATGACAAGAGGTGGGAGCTCTGGGCGATGGGTGTGGAGGCAACTCCTTTCTTGAGCATCTTTAGGGTGTGCTCCTTGTGGGTGGGATGCGAGGCCTCCATGCACACAGCCAACCACACCACCAGACACCGACTAGTGTCTCCACATGGGAGTGGCCACTGACACTGCCACCAGCCAAGCATAACATGTGGGCTCCCAGCCACCGCCACATCATCATCATCGACCTAAGGGGCACAGTGGGGATGGCTGCGGCATGTGCTGCACATGTGTGACGCCTGGTTCTGGCCCAGCTCTGCCCAGGGAATGGGGACAGTCGCGGCTGTGCTCCCCAGGATGGTATCAGTGCCCTTCTGCGGACGATGGCACGGGGAAGAGCTCACCTGTGAGAGCAGAGGTGCAGGCCAGAAGGCAGGGCTCTGCCGAGGGGCCCTGGGCTGAGCCCCTCATAGCAGTAACAGTCAGGGGGCATACGTGGGGACAGTCCATCACCGCCTTCCCCTTCTTTCTTTTCCTTTTTCATGTGGAGGACGGAGCCCGGGGCTGTGTACCCCTGAGCTATGGTCCCAGCCCCAACTTTCCCTTCCTTCCTGATTTCCGCCCTCCCTTATTTTTTTGGTTTTATTTGTTTATTTATTGAGACAGGGTCTCACCATGTAGCCTGGGCCAGCCTTGAACTCACTGTGTAGCTTACACACATCTGTAATCCCTGCCATTTGGGAGGCTGAGGCAGAAAGATTAGCAAGTTTAAGTCCTGTCTGGGGGCTGAGAATATACTTCGATGGTAGAATTCCTGTGAGTTTGATACTCAGTACTAAGAAAAGAAAAACAAAAAAGGGCTCAGCTGGGCTTCCTCTGCCTCCAGGAAAGGGAAGACTCTCTTACCTCTGCCAGCTCACAGGGCTCAGGTTTCCTGGACTTACAGCTGTACCCTCTGGTCTCTCCCTCTGGCTTCATGGGGATTTGTCCCCTGCCTGGAGTCTTCTCTTCTGTTTATTACAAGGACTTTTGTCATTAGGTAGGGGACCAACCCTAACCCAGCATGATCTTTTTTTTTTTTTTTCTTTTTGAGACAGGGTTTCGCTGTGCAGTTCAGGCTGGCCTTGAGCTCACTTTGGAGCCCAGGCTGGTCTCAAACTCGAAACGATCCTCCTGCCTCAGCCTCCTGAGTGCTGGGATTTACAGGCGTGAGCCACCATGCCTGGCTTACCCAGCATGATCTTTTCTGGGAATGGAAATCTTAATTCCATTGCAAAGACTTATCCACTTATGTATTTATTTTACTGGGAACGAAACCCTGGCCTTTGCACTAAGCTATAACACAGTATTTTTATCTTTCACTTTGAGACAGTGTCTGGTTAAGTTCCTCAAGGGCTGCTAAGGGATGGTGGGACCTTTAAGAGGTGGAGCCTACTGGGTGGTGGAAGGTCTGCCTGGTCCCCCATCTCTGGCTTCCAGTTAGGTGTTGATTTGCACCCCCCACCACCACCATTTGAACTCAGCACAGTGGCTTGACACTAATCTTTTCTCTGTCGTTAGCCTCACTCTGGTATTTCAGTATAGTAACACAAAGCTGATACAGGGCGGCTCACTCTGAAGAGCAGTTCTGTACCTACCTTGATGTGTACAGGTCCTCAGGACCCGGAATAAGGTGGGGGGTCCCAAGAACTAACTCTACCCAGCTTCTCGTACAGCCTGCTTCCCTTGTAGCCTAGAACCCCTGGTGTGTGACTCTCTTGTCCTTCTCTGGGCTTGATCTTTGCCACCCAGGTTCTGGCTCCTGAGCAGCAGGAGGGAGGGCAGAAGTGGTCAACAGCTCGAGGCTCACACGCAGTAGACGGCCAACTTTTGGGCTCAGTGTTTTTGTTGAAAGGGTGACTAATTCTTTTATTTTTCTCTCTCTCTTTTTTCTCTTTGGTGCTGGGGCCGGAACCCAGGCCCTTGTACATGCTAAGCAAGCGTTCACCCGGAGCTCCACCCTCAGCCGGGTGACTAATTCTTACCGAGAGCTGGGTTCCACTCCTTAATTCCCATTTCATGGACACGGATGCTGAGACCACCCAGCAACCCTGAGAGCGCCTGGGTGATTCACTGGTACACTATGTGTTTATCTAACGTGTGTCTGCTGCCGTCCCGCAGCACGGCAGCCAGAAGCAAAACAGCGTCCTCATCCCTGGGGAGCTGACATTTCAGTGGGGGGATGAATGATAAGAAGGCAGTAAAACATCTGACAGCACCTCAGAGAGCTGCACGCAGAGCTTCCTGAGGAGCCAGTGCTTCTATACCTGGGTTTCTGCCCCAGAAAAGCAAAAATGGGGACTCAGGTGAGTCCTGGAACACACACGTTCACATAAGTATTGTTCATAGTGGTCTAGAGGTGTGAACAAAGGAGTATCTACCAATACATTAAGATACATCCTGGAGTGGAATATTACTCAGGCATAAAAAGGAACAAGGCATTGATACATGCTACATGGATAAACCTCAAGATCATGGTGCTGAGTGACAGAAACCATGTACAAAAGGCCATATGATGTGTGATTCCACTGCCATGAACCACCTAGATTGGGAGACTCCACAGGAACAGGAATCAGATCAGAGGCTCCCAAGGGCAGGGCTAGGTGAGTGGGGAGAGACCTCTCGTGGGGAAAGGGTTTCCACTGGGTGGGGCAGAAGTGTTCCCGTCCTATATAGAGGTGGTCATTGCTTGACACCCCAAGGGCACTAAGAACCCTTGGGGCCTTAGGGCTGAGGCTCAGGGGCAGAGCCTTTTCTTTTCTCAGCATGTGCAGGTCCCTGGGCTGTATCCCCAGCCCCCCCAAGAATCAGTTGGTAACTGAAAGTTTAAAGAATGTGTAAATGGGGCTGGGGGTTTAGCTCAGCGGCATAAGCACCTGCCTTGCAAGCAGGCGGTCGTGAGTTCAATCCCCGGTACCGATAAAAATGAAAAAGACAAAAAAAAAAAGAATGTGTAAATGCTACCCAGTCAGATAATTTCTAATGGTGAATTTTGCAGAGTGTGGTTGGTGTATGTCCTTAATCCCAGCCATTGGGGAAACTGAGGCAGGAGGATGGTAAATTCAGGGCCAGCCTGGGCAACTAGCAAGATCCTGCAGCAGTACCAGGAAACAAAGCACAGGTGTGGAGACATGGATGCAGCTGGCTGTGGTTAGCTGCTGATGGAGAGTTAAAGGCAGTAACGGCAGGAGGGTCAGCACTGTTAGGATGTCAGCCCAGCAGGGTGGACCCTGGCCCCAGTGGACAGTTGTCAGGACCCACGGCCACCTGAGCTTTCCACTTCCTGCTTGCAATACCTGAGCTGTCCAGAGCCCCCATGCTGGTCCTGAGCCTGCAAGCCCCACAGCTGGCCAGACCAGCAGAGAGGTGGTGAGGTCCTGCCTCTGGGATCCTGTGCCAGCTGTGGCTCAGGATCCTGTGCCAGACAGTGGCCAGAACATGAACGGGGCCTGCTGTGTCCTGGCCTGTGGCTCTGCCAGCCCACAGGCCATCCTGCTGTGGTCCCTGCTGCGGCTCAGCCCAGGAACCCTAGGGAGGGCGTCCCTGGCTTCACTCTCCCTTGACCTGCAGCTCATCAGACACTGTTAGCATCCTACAAGTGCATCCCAGCGAGGGTCATGCAAGCCCGCCTTTCTCATTGTTTTTAGGGTACTACAAGTGCTGGGTGAATGCTCTACACTGAGCTACATTCACAGCCCTTTTCATTTTATTTCAAGACAGGGTCTCATTAAATTACCCAGGCTATGCTCCAACTCGCAATCTTCCTGCCTCAGCCTCCCAAGTAGCCAGGATCACAGGCATACATCACTGTATCAACAGAGCCTCATCAGTGTTGGTTGGCCTAAATTATTTTTTTTGTCTTTTTCCTTTTTATCGGTACCAGGGATCGAACTCACGACTGCCTGCTTGCAAGGCAGGTGCTTATGCCGCTGAGCTAAATCCCCAGCCCCCTTTTTTCCTTTTTATCGGTACTGGGGATCAAACTCATGACTGCCTGCTTGCAAGGCAGGCACTTATGCCACTGAGCTAAATCCCGAGCCCCCCTAAATTATTTTCCTCCTAGCTATTGCCCCTAATTGAAGATGTTGCCTCCCCAGTGCTTGAGAGGCATCCAGTAAAGCCATAGCCAGTTTCTCTTCTCATTTCACTAATAGGGTGTCTCCATAGTGCCCCACAAATCTTCTATGACATACAGGTTGCCTTCCACGCAGTCTCCTCTCTTCTCTGTCTCCCTTCTGTTGCCTGGAGAGGTGGCTGACCCAGTACACTACTGCCCCAGGACCTTTGCACAGGCTGGCCTGAGTTCTGTACTCTCAGGACAGTCAGTGACCAGGATGCCATGGGTCTGCAGCTCACAGTGTGCCTGAAGACGTTCCCATTCTTTTTGCCTTCCACTGGTTATGTGTCTGTGCCTGTCATGTGGGTGTTTGGGGAGCCTGCTAGCGTGGATGCCATTGGCTCCAGCTGTAGGCTGTCTGTGTGGTGGGCGTGTGAGCTGCGGGTCTTTGCTGATGGGGCTAGAGCCCTGCACGTGGCTCATTGGGAACAAAAGCTGGTGAGGCAGGTGACCGTGGGCGTCTGCACAGCTTGATGGCCCGGCCTGTGGGGCAGCTCCGGCATTCGCTGGCTGCCACCAGCTCAAACACAGCCTGTTCCTGTCTCAGGCTCCGCCTCTCTCACCTCTGCTCCCTGTCTATTCACCTCACGTATTACCAGGAACGCCTATCCCTGGCCTGGACCCACCGTGCCTCTGTCATACTCCTATCCTGCTTTCATCGCTGCTGCGTTCCTTCGCAGCCCCGCCTCGCCCCGCCTCGCCCCGCCCCCGCCCTACTAGACCACACCCAACGCTCAACAGACCCCGCCCTTCTCCATTTGGACCCACCCTTTCCAGTCCTGGCCCCGCCCCTCACCATAAGGGTCCGCCCTAATTCCCCACCCTCCTGCCCTGGTTGAGCCCAGGATCCAACTCTTTTCCGTAGGCCCCGCCCCTCCACCCCAGATAAGCGGTTTTTTCCGAGTCTGGTTAGATTCTTTTTTTTTTTTTTTCTGGTTAGATTCTTGATCTAAGGCTCCACTTTAGCTGTCACCCTAGCTCTCCCTGGCCCCGCCTGTCCTTGGCCCCGCCCACCACCACCAAGGTCACACCCACTACAGAACAGTGTGCCATACCCCTCATCGGCCTGATTCTATCCTTCACTTTGGGCCCCGCCCCTCGTAGGGCATGCTCCTCCTCCATATCTGTTAAGTCCCGCCCCTCATCAGGTCTTGCCCCCTGCCCACTTGGATACACCTGTTCCAGGCTTCTGGCCCCAAGGCCAGCCCCAATCCGAAACCCATCCCTTAGCATCAAACACGCCCCTTTGCTGCTCCTCACTCTTCAAGCTGGTTTAGCTCTGGCCGCCCCTTCTTTGCATATGAGGTTCCTCCCACCAGTAAACCCCGCCCCTGCGGAGACTGGTTTCCCCCTTCTCGGACCACGCCCTGCCCTACGGCCCCGCCCCCGAAGCTGGGCCACGCCTCTCTCCCCGCGTCCCTGTTCCCCAGTCGGCGCACGCGGCTCCCGTCACTCGAACGCGCGGTGGCGGCGGTGGCGGCGGTGGCGGCGGCGGCGGTGGCGACACGAAGATGGCGGAGTCTGGGGGCAGCGGCGGCAGCGCGGGCCCGGGCCAGGAGCGCCCGAGCAGGTGAGTCGCGGCCCGCGGGACGCGCTGGGAGTTCTGGGACCCGGCCGGCCGGAGGAGGAGCCTTCGCGGTCACTGTGGGCTTCTGAGGAGCCGCTGCGGGCCGGCCTGGCCCCGCGGACCTCCAGGTGTCTGCATCGGGCCCCGCGGTGCTGAGGGGATCTCCACGGTGACAGGGGCGGGGACCTGCAGATGCCAAGGTTCCGAAGGCTGAGAGCCGAGCAAGGTTACAGACAAGCTTGGGGGTGTCCTGGAGCCTCTGGTAGATAAGCTGAGGCCAAGGCTGCCTGGGGCTGCGAGGGGACCTAGGATGGCCAGAGGGTGCACCAGTGCGCCGAGGCCTGTGGGAGGCTGGGAACTGAGGATCTGACAGGAAGAACTGGGAGGGGACACCGAGGACCCCTCAGGTCCCGAGGAGAGGGCGGGATCTGGGGTGGGGTGGGTGGGGCCCACAGGTTCTGAGGGGCTGGGGAACGTGTCAGGGGGCCAGAGGACTGCCAGTAAGCAGGGGGCCATAAGACATAGAGGGTCCTTCCTCGGGGCTGTTTCCTCCCATTCCCTTCGGGTTCACTCTTCCTCCCCTCGGGCTGAAAGACTTGAGGTGAGGTCTTGCCCTGGTATTGGGGGGCATAATTCAACCCTGTGGTCAGAGGGATGCTCCTTCTCTTCCTGGCTAAGACCGGAGATGGGTTACTTGAAGCTCAGAATTTATCAAGCACTCATAGGTACTCCTGTGCTTTGGGCATCAGCCTGGAGTCTCGGGGAGAGAGGGCCTGCCTCAGGGAGCTGCACCTCCCGCTATTTTCATGTAGGGTGACACACAGCCCTTCCCATCTGAGCCCCCCAGAACACCCCAGGACCCCCACCGTGCTCAGCTGGCCACTTGGGAATTTCAGCTCCTCCTAGCTAGTGAGCTCACGGGAGCCAAGGGTTACTCTCAGTATGGCAGTGACCCAGTTGGTGTATACGCAGCTGGCACAGAGGATGCTGAGTGGCACCTTGAGTCTTCCGTGCATGCCCAGAGCAAGGCAAGGGACTGAGTTGGCTTTGCTGGTAGCTATGGAGAGACAGGGATCTCTGTGACCAGTGGACTGACCAGCCTTTTGGGGTGGAAGTGGGGATGGGCAAGATTAGAGGCCTGGAATGGACAGGGTTGGGTGGCCAGTTCCCAGGCTGTAAGCACGGAGAGATAAGGAACAGTGAGCCAAGTGTTGTGAGCACACCTGTAATCCCAGCTGCTCAAGAGGCTGAGGCAGGAGGATTGCTCAGAGTCTTAAGGCCAACCTGAACTATATAGTGAGACTTTGTCTCAAACAAAACAAAACGGACCAGCAAGTCCCTGCCTTGGGCCCTGGAGTGGCTTAATCTGGAACAAGAGTTCTTTGCTTTGTTGTTGTTTTTGTTGCTGGGGATAGAACCTAGCACCTTCCTTGCACGAGGCAAGCCCTTCTTCTGAGCTACACCTCATCTTTCTCCATCACCCCTCCAGTACTGAACCCGGGGATGCTCTGCCACTGAACTACATCATCAGCCCTTTTTAAAATTTTATTTTGAGGCAGTTGCAAAGCCTGGCCTCAAGTTTGCAGTGCTCCTGCCTCAGCTTCCTGAGTAACTGTGGTGACAGGTGTACGCCACAGTACCTGGCTTAGCTTTCTTTCTTTCTTTCCCTCCAGTACTGGGGACTTAACTGAAAGCTTCTGCGCTGAGCTACATTCACAGGCCTTTTTAAAAAATGTTTTAATTTGAGGCTACCATGCCCTTCCTCATGATAGCCTGCCCTGCTTCTAGGGTGTGGATTTTCCTTACTTCCTCCTCTTTTACTCAGCCCAAGCTCATCCTGAAGGCCAGTTTCTCCCTCACTCTTCAATTTTATTTTTCCAATTCACTTTGTCTATATATTTTTTTCTTTTCTTTTCTTTTTTTTCTGAGTCACTCAGTTGTCCAGGCCAGGTTTGAGCAGGTAATCATTCTGCCCCTGCCTCCCTCAGTGTTGAATAACAGGCATGTACCACCACTCGCTAATAACATTTTTGGAAGTTCATTCATGCTGTTGCATCAGAAGTTTATTCTTTATCACCACTGAATGAAAAGAAACCAACTGACCATCCTTACAATGGTGTGTGTGGACACAGTTTGTTTAGTAGTTTTCTGGTTGGTGGATTGGTTGTTTCCATTTTGACAATTATAAATAAAGCTGCTAAGAACTCCAGTTAGTATCTTTATGTGGATATAGCACAGCTGTCTTAGTGGGTAGATAGCTAAGAATGATTGGGGCATGAGGCAAATATGGGTTTTGTTGCTGTTGTCTGTTTTTTTGGCTTTTTTGAGACAGGGTCTCTCTCATTATGCAGTTCAGCTTGGCCTTCAGCCTTTTGAGTGTTGGGATTACAGGCATGTGACACCATGCCCGGCTGCAAGGCAGATGCATGTTTAACTTTTTAAGAAATTAGCTTACTTTGCAGAATGGCTGTGCATTTGGTATCCCTGCTATCAATGTTTGGGAATTCCATTTGCAAACAGAACAGTGATACATGCCTGTAATCCTAGCTGTTCAGGAGGCTGAGGCAGGAAGATCACAAGTTTCAGGCTAGCATGGCCAACTAAACAAGACACTATCTGAAAATAAAACATTTAGAAAAGAAATTGGAATACCAGAGGTGGTGGCACATGCCTGTAATCCTATCATGTAGAAGACTGAGGCAGAAGGATCAGGAGTTCAAGGCCACCCTGCACTACACAGTGAGATCCTGTTGAAAACAAACAAAAAAAAGCCCAGAGCTGGGGATATAGCTCAGTAGCACAGCGCCTGCCTGGTAAGTACAAGGTTGTGAGTTTAATCCCTGATACCAAGAAAAAAAAAGTTGAAAAGAAAACAAAACCTCAAAAATAAAAGATTGGAGGTAGGATTAAGGTACAGCTCAACGGTACAATGCCCCTGGCTTTGATCCCCAGAACTACAAAAACAAACAAGCCAGGGTGTACTTGTGTCCCTTCTTCTCCAGCAGTTAGTATGGCTGGTCTTTCTTTTTAGTCACTTTTTTTTTTTTTTTTTTTGGGTACTAGAAATTAAATCTTACCAGGAAGGTACTTAAGCCGCTGAGGTAAATCTTCAGCCCTTTAGCCACTCTTATAGATGTGTTTAATTTCTTATTTTGGCGTTAATTTACATTTCCCAGAGGAAATGCAAAATCATCATTTTGGATATTTTTATGGTTTTTTTTTTAAATGTGTTTTTCTCACTGCTGAAACAAAAATACCCAACCCCCAGAGTTAAAGGAGGAAAGGTTTATGTGGCTCACAGTTTGTAGAAGTTCATTTCAGAGTTAGTTGATTCCAAAGCAGGTGGCAATAGCAGAGGGGCATTACAGAGGAGACACAGTTCATGGTGGGCACAAGAAACTAATATACAAGGGTCTGGGGATTTAGCTCAGTGGCATAAGCACCTGCCTTGCAAGCAGGTGGTCGTGAGTTCGATCCCCGGTACGGAAAAAAGAAAGAAAAAAAAATCTCCTTAAAAAAAAAAAAGAAACTAATACACAATAAGTGATAAGACAACCTCCGTCTGTCCCTTATATCTCATTTAGGCCACCTGCCCTAAGTGACCTCAATCCTAGTGTTCCTTTTTTTTTTTTTTTTTTTTGGTACAGGGTATTGAACTCAATTCCTCATACTTGCCAGGCAGGAGCTGTGCTACTAAGTTGTATTCCCAGCTCTTTTTTCGTTCTTTTTGAGACAGGGTCTCACTGTGCAGTTTGGCTGACCTTGAGCTTACTTTGTAGCCCTGGCTGGCCTTGAACTTGCAGTGATCCTTCTGCCTCAGCCTCCTGAATGCTGGGATTAGAGGTGTGTGCCACTGCACCCAGTGATCCTAGCATTCTTTTTTTTTTTTTTTATCTTTTTCCTTTTTATCGCACTCACGACTACCTGCTTGCAAGGCAGGTGCTTATGCCACTGAGCTAAATCTCCAGCCCCCGATCCTAGCATTCTTTTTTTTTTTTTTTTTTTTTTTTGTCTTTTTTCCTTTTTATTGGTACCGGGGATCGAACTCACGACCGCCTGCTTGCAAAGGCAGGTGCTTATGCCGCTGAGCTAAATCCCTAGCCCCCGATCCTAGCATTCTTAATCCAAGCATTGTACCATGAATTGATCCCAGTGTCACACATTCTAGATCCAGCCACATCTGATAAAACCCCACCTATGACCACATGAACCTTTGGGGGGACGTCTAGATACAAGTCATAACACTGGATCTTCAAATCTTTGGTAAATTATCTTTTCAACCTTTCACCTACTTTTTTCCACTGGATTGGGTTTGATGGGAGACCGCATAACTCACAGAGCACTTCCACTGGTCACTTTATGGCTTTCCTTGAGGTAAAATTTATGTGACCAGGTTCATCCATTTTGAGTGACCCTCTTGGCAGCATTTAGTAGATTCACAGAATTCTGCAGCCATGATCACTATCTAGTTCCAAATTATAATCATCACTCCCAAAGGCAATCCCATGCCCACTCCTGGTTTGTTCTGCGATTGTCCAGGCCAAGCTTGAACTCGCTGTGTGGCCTAGATGACTCTCAAACTCCTGTGCGTCCTCCTCCAGCATCCTGCGGGCTGGGATTGTGGGCATGTGCTACCATGCAGAGCAGACTCTGCACTCAGCAGCACTCACTTCCTGGTCCTGCCCCTCCTCTTCCTATCCTTGCAGCTGCCTGGTCTGCGCATCCATCACCAGGAACAAGTCATGCCCTCTGTGTCTGGCTTTCCTCACTTAGTGTCCTTGTTTGTCACACTGTCATAGCCATACAGGTGCCCCATTCCTCTTCATGGCTGAGTACTATTCTACAGGATAGGTAGACCGTGCGGCTCATGCACTCGACACTTGCCGGCTGCCTCAGCGCATCTCCCGTCACTGAAGAGTTCCAGGGGACTGGGGATGTAGCTTCTGTGCCAGGCGACCTCATGGCCCTGTGAAAGTACAAAAACTAGGAATACCTGAGCCTGA